ACAGCTGCATGCACACAAAAAGTGGATAGATAGAGACTGGTACCAAAGCAGACAAAGGTTATTGGAGGAAGAAGAAATTCAAAAATGAAGGTTATTGAAATTATTCAAGTTTTATAACACGGCAAAGAATGAATACATCTGAGCCATTTTGACTGGCTTTCAGCCATTTCACCTCAACCACTCATTCCTGTTTTCTCGGGGACCCCAGTCAGGTAATGTACACCTCCCTACACTGACAGTCAGGGACTTCATGCATTGATGTTACGTTTTAGTTTGGCTACCCTGAACCCTCTTCGTACCTAATCCAATTTCCCTTGCATTGCACGTTGAGATAGGGGGATGTCTAGGCATGCTTATTCCATCTTCAAACCAACTCACTGGATGAAGGTTCAAAAACTCGTCGGCTGACTTGCTTCTCTTGACTAGTACCCTTCACGTGACCTCTACATTGCTCATATGTTGATTCAACCATGCATTAAATGTTTTTCTGTAACTAAGCTTTAATATTAAAGGTGATTATTGGACTCATATTTAGTTTTAAAGTATGATTTGATGTCTAATCAAACAATTAGACCCTTAATTATATCGATTATTTATTTAGCTCGCTTATCCTCTGTGATATTTCATATAAAAATGTAAGTATGTAAGTATATAAGCAGATTGTTCAAAATGTATCGCGCTAATGTATTACACTTGTTTTAGATAGTCTACATCTGCTTATTGTTTTGTCAGAATATCTAACAGGAAACTAACTGTTCCTAATCTTTATTCTTCCTGTTCATTGATAGCTGAATCCATATTTAAAGAATCGAAGCTTATTTTCAGTGTCATAAAATGAGGGTTAACTTGTGTGAAGTAGTAGTAAAATCACTAGTTTCAGGCTTTGTCCTTTAAATTTCTGTTGATTTTTAACAGTTACCATGTCATTATCATTAGCTATTTCACTAGCTAAGATAGTGTTGTATATCCGATTTCTTGACGAATACTATATGTACCAACATTACGTTAATATTGGAAGTAGTTTGGTTTATATTACACTGGACAACGAATACAACTTGATTAATTAACTCTTTTCGAATCCTGTGGTATTTGTCTTATGATTTACCTGTCGTTGATGTGTGTTCGGTTGGGGTGTGTTTGTTAGGATAACATTCTGGTCAAACAGAGGTGATATCTGCTCATGTTATCCGATTCACATTGGAACGCGTTCGGAACTAATATTGTTGCGCACACAAACCAAAAAGGTGGTGAGCCCAAATTCTGACTAAATAAACTGAGGATCTGTATCTCACAATTTTCGTAGACTATATTATCTGTTATCGAGTATATTGCATATTTTGAACTTATTTCACAAGCTGTCATTCCAGTCAGCCTTACTGTTTTTTGGTAAGCATTCTACTTGGATTTATATCTTGTTCGGATATATATATATATATATATATATATATATATATATCTTCTTGGTTTTACCTTGCATTTTCACGATTCTTATCATGTCTTGCAGAAATCTTAATTTGGAACGTGACCCCTCAACTCATTTTCTCTTGATGTTCCATTATTCACTCCCGGAAATCCTCAAGTATGGTTTGCCAGATTAAAGAACTACTTCATTGCAAACAAGGTCGCCTCGTAGAATGTAAAATTCGGTCTTCTTAGCAAACAACATTGCCGATCAAGTACGCCAGCACACTGTACAACCAGGTACTGAATCTTCGTATGATAGTCTTAAGTACACAGTCATCCAATGTACCTCATTGTCTGACAGACAAGCACTGGATCATCTGTCGAACAACTCGGAATTGGAAGATAAAGCTCCCCCACAACTACTAAGACATAAATAAACAAGGGAACTTTATACCAGATATGGTTATTACGATTGCCAGCAACTACTCAATAGGTGCTTACGTTTGGTGACGATAATATTGGCATCGATAGATTCGCTGCAATCGTAGGTCAAATGCAGGCAATAGAGGAAAACATCAACCTTCTAATTGACCAGATGTCATTATAAACAGAAAGCAGCAGGTAAAACCACAGCAGAAGTTCCTCGTGTCGGCTCATATCGCGCGTACAAGATGAGAGAGTAGTGTAACATATTCAAAACTTTACTCATTCACTTTCCAGTTTCGGTTTCTAGACTGCTTCACCTCCTAGCCGTCAAACAAAACCGTCCGCCAGTTATCTTTTATTATTAAGTGTAAGTACTTCCTGTGTACTTGCTGAGTCGTTGGTCTATGTTTTTCCTTCCAGATCCTCGTGGTCACCATTAAACTGGCACTGCTCTACGCGATCCCCTGTAACAACGTACCTACCTATCCACAGGCTAGGCGAAAACCCATAAACTGCTGGTCGTTACAATAGTCTTACTTAAAGCTGATCATCATCATGAATATCAACATACGACCAGGCATTACTGCGTAACGGTCCAATTTGCCGCCACACCTCATATCAGTACATCAAGTAGAAATGTTGTGAGGTGAAAGATGAAGATAAGAAAATCCAGTCAAAAGAAATATAAAGTACGAGAAGAAAGGGAGAATGAAAAAATGGTAAGAATCTGTATAGTGTTAAGTTGAGGATAATGTGTGTATACATCTGCGCCACTGACTTCGGTTCTGAGCCATATCACCTACAGTCTCCAACCACTGGTTCCTCTTGTCCTGCAGACGCTAACCACCTAGTCTGCATCGCCCCACATGGCTGAAACCAACAGTCAGAGACTTCATGCATTGGTGCCATGTTTTAGTCTGGCCACCTCGGGCCTTTTTCCAGCCTGGGCCTACTTCGGCCAACATTGTGTGACAAGGCAGACGCGAACTAGGCATGCGTAACAAGTGTCCCAATCATCTCAGTATATGAAGGTTCACAATTGTATCAACTGATTTACTTTTTCTCCCTAAAACTCTACAGCTAACTTCTGGATTACTCACGTGGTGACACCATGGAATACGGCATATACTACGAAGGCAACGGTGGTCAAACACTTGAAGCCTTCTCATGTCTTCCACCTTCAATAGCCACGTTTCACAGCCATACAGTAGGACAGACCGGACTGCTGTGCAGTACATGCGACTCTTAATAGACAAACGGATATCACAGCGATGCCACAGGTGGCGTAAATTGGCAAAAGCCAATCAAGCGTTTTGTATCCGTGCGGAGATCTCATCGGCAACTGACCCACCACGGCTGATCCTAATTCCCAAGTAAATGAAGTGGTCGACACACTCAACCACTTCACTCTCTATTGTTAGCCGTGGCACGGTTGAAAACCAATCCTGGAACAACAATTTGCATTTGGGTGGTGAGAACCGCATCCCAAACATTCTCAAATTCCCACTCAAGGTGTTCAGAAGACTCTGCATCTTGTCAGCGTCTTCACTTAACAGGACAATATTATCTGCATATTCTAGGTCTGACGAAAATTCTCCTGTGATTAGGTCAACGTCTGTGTAACTTGGTGACGAGAGGAAGTCCTCCATAAGAATATCTATGATGAAGTTGAATAAGACTGAAGACAATGGGCATCATTGACGAACACCACTCGATGAGCATAGCTCCCTAGACATCTCACCATAGGCTCTAACATGCCCACAAGTGTTCGAGTAGAGAGCCTTCAATAAGGTGATAAACTTGCTCGACCGATAGCTGCTACCTTGACGTGGGGTCGGGTATATCACAATGACCCAACAAGCTATGTTGGTGGAACGCTTGTCTCCTCGAGGTCCTACCATACCAGAAAGGTCTGTTGGATATTGATAAGATGAGAAGCAGTTACCGTTGTGGTGTAAATTGCTACGCTATGGTGGGGGTCTGAGGGCGAGGTCGTACTGCTGCTGGCTGGATAGGGTGTGACAGCAGTGAGGTGTTTCCCTTAGATGACCAGCAGCGCCATGTTGATGCTGCCTTCTCAGTAGAAGGATGGGAGGTTAGAAAAGATCGGCCCCAAAAACAATACACTTCACCTACGGTCTACCAGGCCGGCGATGTTGGTTCATGTGTAGTTTCCTTTCTACCATCCGGCCCCAAAAATACAAAAGTTCAAGATAATCATACTCAAAAGGTTATGTGTGACAGGCCTCAAGCAGATGTCCGATGGGCTCTGTGGTTACACAAATCTCTTTCAGGTACCTTAAGAAGAAATAGCCTTCCACGGTGTTGGCAGCCGGGAAGTGTCAACCGCCCTCACAACTCGATCAGGATTTTAAACAGATGACGTTCAAAGTTGTGTATCTAGAAATTTACTTACTCCTGTGATGCTAGCTATATAGACCAAGCAAAGTACACATTTTCCAAATGCATCTGCACGCATTATCCTGCACATTATTGTCGAGGATAGTGTGCAAATCAATTACCAGTTCAATTCTTGAACAATCTGTCAATTCTGAACTAATAGGTCCATCTTTCAATGTCTTTTAAATAGTGAAAAGGAACAGTTCGAAAGAAGTGCGCTTTCAAAACTTGTTCGCGGCAGAAGCACTGGCAATTCACCAATTCAAGCCTGATCTCTGCGTACAGAAAACCTACGTTCAATCCCTTACTTTGCCATATCCCTGAACCTTCTACTATTGTTTCTTTTGATCTCATTATAACTGATCATTTTGTCAAAAACACTTTCAATGTGACCCCTTCTTCTTCCTTTATCTTCTTTACATCGATTAAATGGATGCTCAACCAACGCATTTCACATCATATATGGCAACACTGGGTGATGAGGGTTCGAACTTCATAGTGGACATCAGTCCTTTCGAGATTTCAGACACGTTATGTTGACGCATGCCAACATGCACTAAATCTATGTCAAACAAGGCTTCCTACCGACTGCCAGATAACACCCATTAAAAGGCATCGTGATGGTGAGCCTCTTATCTTGGTGGCTATATTGCAAAATGATTGATAGGATTTGGTCAGCACTTAGACACCTGAACAACATGAAATCGGTTGCTCTCTACTGACCAACCAATGTAGATTGTATTCTGCCACAAGTATTAAATTTTACTTACCTTTTCGCATATCTCACCTAAAGCAGCTGCCAATACACGATAAGAACTAGTCTTACTACCGAATGGTTCACCGACAATCATGAAACCATGTCGTACAATCATCATTTCATAGACTTGTTGTATTTTTTCAACAAAAAATTTGGTATTCTGTAAATTCATACGATCACAAACATTTTTGATAGCACTATTCAATACTTCATAGTCTGGAGTTGGTCGTTCAACTCCGGGGAATAAATCGGACGCAATGCCATTGAATAGCGGTAAATCATGGTTTAGAAATTTCGGTAAGTTGACGTCAATAATTGACCGCAACATTAAGACGTCTTCATCTTCGTTTGGATATTTTAACTAAGTTGAGAAAAATGTGAAGAAAATAGGAGAATTAATCATGCATAATCTACCGAAATCCATTTACAGCAATAATATAATGAAGACTTATAGAAGAATGAAATTCTTCGACAAGTTAATTATGTTATAACTGCTACACTCGTTTTACTAATTCACTAGTAACCACACTTCTTCAGTGAATCATGCATTAGATGCTTCAAAAGAAAGTCAACATTTAGATTGATACTTGATTACGATCAAGAGGTAGTACCGCATCACGAATTCACATGGTAGTCGAGGAAAAGCCTAGGGGATTGAAATGAAATAAAAATTTGGTCGGCAGTTGGGCTTCATAGCTCACTTCGAGGAGTACTAGGCGGGAAACTTAGTGGTCGCTGATTCGAATCCAAATTTCCACTTCACCTTCAATCATCGCCTAGTATCAATACTAGCCTGCCAAACCACGGGTATTTCAGGTAGTTAAAATGATAACCTGCCGTGTTATGAATCCGCAATCAGTGTTCAACTTCTAGGTAGGTTAGATCAGTGTTAATGTATGATGACTAATTTCTCTTACTGTCGAATTGGTATACACTGGTACACCAAGTCTCTAGCTATTGGTCCGAGCCGTGTGGGGGTTGCAGACTAACTGACTGGGGCCCCCGAGATGACAGGACTCGGTAGTTGAGGTCGTTTGGAGAAGTGGCTGAAAATCGGTCTCCGCGGCATAAATGTATTCACTTTTTGATGTCTTCTAAAGCTTGAATGTTTTGACTAATCTTCATTTTCGAGTTCTTTCCCTTCTCATACATCTATATTTGCTTTGACATCAGTCGTTTTCTGCCCATTTTTTCTTTGTATGCTACTATCAGGCGTGGCAACCTGAACCGAGGTACTTGCTTGCAAGATTCTACGTTGATTTCGCCTGTCTCTCTGATACCATTTTAGTTTATGAATACTGACATTCATTTCGGTGATGTGATCGGTTTAAAAGAATAATAATACTTTTCAAGTTGTAATTTGTCATCTACTGACATTATTTAGAAGACCATTTAGAATCCGGGGCACTGAGCAGCTATTTCGTTCTAGTATGGGACTCCTCAACAGCGCACACCCATGACTCCGCCAGGGATTAATCCAAAGACCTTCAAGTTCCGCAGTCAGCACTTTACCGTTTTAGCTATTGGGTTTGAATCCAGTGACCTACGATATAGGCCGACCTTCATCCAGAGCTGTTGTTGAGAATGAGTGCTCCCAGTTTTTCAATGGTTCACCAACTTTCGTCAGTCCACGGTGAATTCCAACTTCGAAAAATGATCAAAACAAGCTTATTTTCGACTCGTTTTATTTGTTTGATGATTTTGTATTTATGCTGTTCTAACGGTCCTAACTGCATACATGTTTTTAATGATCATGATCGGCTACAGTAGTCGTTTGATATTATTTCTAAAGAAGTTAAAACGTAATTGAAATCTGTTCACCTTCAATATTGTTTCCCATCACGTCTACCATATCCTAAATGCTAACTGGCTATGTGAAAGTTTTCACAGAGAACTCATTATTTCATGGTTAAGTATATAGTCAAATATAGCATAGTATACCGTTTGTGCCACCACTGCCACTTCTGTCTTTATTGACCTAGAGGTTTAATATGTTCACGTAAAAGACTGTATTTATATGCAGCTTTTTTCGTCTCAAAATGTCTAATCCGTACAGACACAGGCCAGTCATGTCTACTGATATTCTCATGACTGAATGAAGTATAACGTACTGTGGGAGAAGAGTCATTATTCGTATTCGGTCCAAATGTCTTGTTCCGTTAGTATCGTTCGCATATTTCTCAGTATTTCACGTAGTCACTTCAGGATTCATAATTCAATATAAATATAACGATACTTGTAACTTCCCGTTACTATACAGAGCCGAAGTGCTCGACCTCTGCTGGCAGATAGGCTCCTATGAGGACGCCTCGATACTGCCGGATTCTCATGATATTATATAGATCTTCATGACTAACAGCGGAATCCAGGACGTGCGTTTTGTCCTATTTGAGACTCGTCAGTCATATATACTTGCGGCCCAGTGTGTGATATTCTTACCGCTGAGGCTCGTGCCCAGTACCCTTCGCTTCAAATGCCAGACGGTTATCAAATAAGCCAATAAGGCACGATAGCCACTTCTTATGCAGTGGGTGTCAGTTGTTGTCATGATGCTTGTAACTTCCCGTTGCTATACAGGGCCAAATAGGAGGAAACGCGCGTCCTGGATTCCCCTGCTAGTCATGAAGATCCAGATAATATATACTCATGCTTCTCATTTTTTGGTCATCAGTTTTTATAATGTTTGATTTGGAACTGGTAACAGGGTGTTTGCCAGAAAACACATTAATATGGAAAAGATACAATACTATGGTATCCAGATAATTAAGTACAATAAATTCACTAAGTTTCCTCTAGGTCGTTCGTTCATTGTTTAACAGTGTAACATTTTGAGATAGTCACGGTTGGCAAGTTCATATTACTGATTATTGGGTGATGATTGAAAGTAGAATGAAAACCTGGGTGGAGACAGGATTTGAACGATTTGTTTGCAGCTTATCGGCGGGGGCTTTACCAAACTGAGCCACAAGACTCTTAGGTGCTAACCAAATTTTAATTTAAAATCAACCACCAAGAATTTTGTCTGGCTGCTAATTGAATCCGTAATTCCCATGTGTGATCACACTGGCTGGTTTGAATAATGCCGTGACTAATATTTTCATTTCCACCTCCAATGATCACCGGATTTAGTTATTGTGCACTACAGCCTAGGTATTTAGTTGATAATTTTCTTCCTAAATTAGCAAATGATTTACAAATGGCACAGTCTACGCTAACATTTCTCATAGTTTTTCAACTGCCCAACTGTGGTGTCAACAGAGTTTCTGTTGTAAACTACCTAGCCAAGATCACAAGTAAGGTCACTGGCGTGAAAGTGTCATGAACTAACGAAATATGCTGCTGAACACGGTTGATGAGCCCAACCGCAAACGAACGAAATGGCCGTCCGGTGCCTAGATTATCCTTATCTCACTGGAAAAATTTACGGATAAGCTTGAGTGTTTTCTAACTACTCAAGTTGTTTGGTAGTAAATGTCCTTCCAACCTGCTCCTTCGATCACTGTAAACATCACCGTGTAATCAAGTCAACATTTGAATATGATGCCTTTCATAAAGTGTAAAATGAGTGACTTAATATTTGGCGATACGTTGCGATATTCATATATATCAAAAAATGAAAAAAATATCCATATGCAAAGAAATAACTCTTTTTCGATATTTATTGACTTTATAACATGATAAATTGATAGGTTAAGCCTGTTGGTTCAAATAATTCCTACCAGTTGCCCAAACTGAAGTTTAACATTCAAATTGTTTGACATTTTCGCATACCTTACATAAAGTGAGTAATAGCTAGTTCCATGAGTTTTTAATTATCTTCTGGGCTCGTTCGAGTCGAAATCGTAAACCAGTTTTTGTTCGTCAACAATGTAGAAGCCAGGACCAGAGTTTTATACAGAAGAGAAAAGTGAGTCGATAAGGTTGTGAACCTTTATCGACTGAAGTGGCTGGAACTTGTGTTACGCATACCTAGTCACCGTCAACCTATCGCGCAGTGTTAGTCGAAGTAGGTTTAGGCTGGATAAAGGTTAGAGGCGGCCAAATTCAAATATGGCACCAGTTCATGAAATCTTCGACTGTTTTTCTGAGCTGTGCAAAAGATGTAGGTTTCATGATCAGATTCCGTGTGACAACAAAAACCAGTGGTTGGAGACTGTAGGTGATATGGCTTAGAATCGATCTAACTGGTGCGAATGCACCTTTATTATCTTTGTTTTAATCGTTATGCTGGGTTTTATAACTGCATCATTCCTTCTTGTTCCCTTTGTTGAGGTCAGTCAAGGAGTACTAGGCAAGACAGGCAAATCGATTGGTGCGGTTGTGAACCTACATCAACTGAGAAGGTTTGGACATGTGCTTGGCATGGATAGCCATCCCCTACCTCAATGTGCAATGGTGGGGGAAATTGTATTAGGTTAGAAGAGGGTTCAGGGTGGTCAGACCAAGATGTGGCACCAGTCAATGAAGTCGCTGTCTGTTGATCTAAGGCTTGTGGAGAGATGTAGACTACCTGACTGGGGTCTCCGAGACGATAGGCATCAGTGGTTGATGACTGTTGGTGACATGGCTGAAAATCGATGACAATGGGGCAGATGTATTCACTCGTTTGTACCTTCTAAAGCTTGAAAAATTGTTTATTCTGCCACACAACTTTGTCTACTTTTATACCACTCCTTTCTACCCAGTTGTCTTTTGTGTACTACTGTGAAGTATGGAAACTTGAGCCAATCACTTTATGTGCAAGGCTCTGCTTTGATTTTGTCTATCTGCTTTGTTCTTTTATTGTACCTTCCAGCCAATCTTGATTAATGTCTTGCTTACTTAAGTATCTATCATCTTTGTGTTTTCTACCTTAATGTGCAGACATGAGATGTGGGGACATGTACTGTTATAGAATTATGCCAGTTCCCACTCCGATTTCCTTTCTCTCTCTCTCTCTCTCTCTCTCTCTCTCTCTCTGTGTGTTTCAGTTCAAGTGTTGGAATTGCAATGGATATCAAGTTCAAATAGTAATTCATTTATGTGACCCCTAGCAGTACCCATCTCCAACTCCATGGCGACCTGGCAATTTCTTACTAAGACGTGAAATGAAAGAATATGCAGTTATTTGAAGAAGATTCAACATATGTTAGTGCTGGATATGTCTGTAGTGGAAAAAAGTGGAAAGAAATTGTAGCTTATAATGAGGATGATGGTGGTTCGTTGTCCTCTGCGTTTCAATATTTTTTCGTGGACGTATCACCAGCTATTTAGGAGTTAATCTGGAGGGTGTCACCAGGCCTGGTCGACGGAAAAATATGTCACAGCTCAAATTACGTTGTAACCGTTTATGATATTGATATATACCATGAAAACAAAATCATTTGCTTCCTTTAAAAAAAATGACATTTCAGTTTACCAGCTTATTTACAACCAATCAAATTTCCATTCTTCTAAGTGGCTGAAGAGAAATCAACCAGCCTGAAGTTGATTTTCCCCGTGGACTGACATCAGTATAGTTAAGAAATCCGTTCAAGGAAGAGGATAAAACTGTCAAATAATGCTTGTTCCTTAGTAATTCAGACAAGAGCGAATGAAATGATCATTCAGTAGAAATTCATACGAAATTTAATTTGAGAAATATTGGACGTCGAGACACCAATTCATTTAAACAAAACTTTTTATTTTTTCAAACTCACTTTAAGATTACCAGCTGCCGTGAGTACAGATTTCACAGCACGCATACCATAATCATAATGTGACTGGCTGGATAATTGTTCTGAACATAAACGATAAGTGGCTACAATTTTTATTGCCAATGGACGAGCATTCACAAAACCACACGAATATAATGAGATCTCTGCAATCATTGCATAATCTGGTACCATCATAGCAACTGAACGAAACAAAGCCTAGTGGAAAGAAAAAGAAAGTAGGAAGGATATTAACCAGTTTCATAATGAATTTCATGTTTCTAAAATATAGTCAGGTAGCAACGGCAGCCGATATGATTGGCCATATTAATCATCCTAAATGAATCGTTACAACTAACTGTTTTCTTATAATTGGAGCTAAATTTCCAGTTTCACACCACTCATCAGTACGGTATACTTGCCAATGTGACGTTATCTGATACTATTTCGGAAATTTTAGTCTATAATACTGACTTAAACAGCTGAAGACGTTATTGGTGAATTGTTCGCAACGTGATTACCGCTATATAAGACTAAGTGTAGTATCAGTCAGTGTCATGTTATATAGTAAAGTCGTGTAGACCATTTCTAGCCATCCAGTAAAAAGAACGTTGTACTGAATTGCTGAATCATCTGTCTGGTAGGTGTAATCGAAAAGGTTCCATTCACACTGAGGACTAAGCTGGATGCCATTCAGCAACAACATTATCATCTACCCATAAGTTAAGGTGAATGAACTGAACTCAACCAGTCTAACACCTTTAATAGGTGTTGTACATCATATCCATGTATCTGATCATGTTTTTTATGTAAAAACATACGAACCAACGTAGAACGTCTTGCAAAAATACAACTGTTCAACGTGAGACACTTCAAAACAGGAGAGAAAAAGGAAACGAACCAAAACAGAGTGGTATTAGCATCACCAAGAAGGATATGAAATGGGATAAAGAGTGAGCGCAAGAAAGAGAGAGATAAAGAGAAGAAAACAGATGAATTGGAATTGAATGCTAAGTAGTTTGACGATGGCAGATGCTGAAAAACATTTCTACAAAATTATGATCGTTTTTTAGCTACGTCTCGAGTGTTCAACCTTTGGTTTCCACTACTTTGAGGACGCTACTTCAGTAGGATGGAATTCTCTTTTAGCTTTAAGCCGGTGATCGGTGATCACTGGGTGCTTCACTTTACGTTACCCGTATAATCCCCATTTAAGTTAATCCTTATTTAGTAAAGTACAGTTTTTCTACACTTCCCTTATTCTCCTTTCATATGTTGGAAGAATTCGTTTGATCATAGAAAAAGAGGGGAGATGATTAGTACAAAGGAAGCTTTTTCTTTTCGCCTAACTTATTCTCTTAGCTGTACATTCATTAGGGCATAGAAAAAAAGAAAGAACACTTCAAAGTAACATTTAATCAGGCGTCAAAATACGTTGCATAACAAACGGAAGGTTACTCAATATATATATATATATATATATATATATATATATATATATATATATATATATATATAGGCTTTTAGAATAAGAGGACAGAAAATGACTATAAAATGAGATAAAATTACATCATAAGGCAGTTGTTTATCCTTCACAATAGCCATGGCAAAGAAAAAGATCGACTAGTTTAAGAGTACAACTTAAGCACAGTGGTAGAATGCAATTCCATTTTATTTGGTTTATTAGATGTATCACACAATGGAACAATATCGGATTACGTTTCGCACATAATTTGTTATCCATAGTCATAACTCTGAGACATCCTTTGTATAGTTCTAATGCCTTTGTCTTCTTTGTGACGTGAGTAGTGGAACTTCCCATATATCTGGAACGAGTGCCGAGTCATTCCTGTTGCATATATTAGGTGCTGATTCGACAAACAAAGATTCAGTTGTCAATCTCTCCTTCCACCCTGCTATGTTAGTTCCAAGGATCTTCACCCTATCCCATCCTATTACGTGGTTGTGTGTAAATGTATGCATAGTTATGGCCGAGCTTTTTTCTAAATTCCTTGTATTACTAGGATCTACCAATTTTGACCTAGGTAGGTTTTTGTGATCGGATAGCCTATCTGTCCCTGGTCGACTACTTTGACCTATAAATTTGACATAGCAATCGTTGCAGGGGGTTTGGTAAACTAAATTATTCTGTCCAAATGGATCAATATTGTCTTTCGGCCTAAAAATCTTATTTGTAAATTAATTTGTAGGTTTGAAATGCTAATAAGAATCCTACGTAATGTCCCTGAGGTACCTTCCTTGTACGCTAACACTGCAGAGGTTTTGAATTTTCTCTTGGTAGTATTTTCACCATAATTATTAAAATTATTATTATTATCAATAACAGCTAGTGCGGCGGAGTGAGAGATTGGTAACCTAGCCTTTGTTTTCGAATCAAAACTCAATACATGCAACAGGGAACCCTCAGGCCCCTCAGCCTCTGGATATGTGGAAAATTCTACTATCCGTATCACAAAGAAGATGAGAAAATTATAAAAATCTAAAGGATGTCTCAAAGTTGTGGAGTTACCTTGACATGACTATGGATAATAAATTGCATCCGAAATGTAATCCACTGAATAATACTGTTTCACTGTGTGATGCATCTTATAAATCAACTAATAATGGGAAGAAGTCTGCTCCTTTCAAACTTTGTGTAAACTGCAACCCAGCCAAAGGAAAGAAGTAAGGCCTAAACATCTCAGGATACCTGAAGCATTAACAATTCACAAATTCAAACTGTCATTGTGCATACATGCGAAGTATATACAACCTCTTTCTTTGCCATAGTCATCATAAAGAATTGATCACTTTGTTGTTTTATGATGTAATTATATTTCTAAAAGCACTTATCTGTCTCGCGGTTCGAAAACTTCCTATCACACTGAGTATAAATAAACAATTTCAACAAAATAATACGAAAACATAGTTTATCTGCAATGTGCACAATACAAGTGATTGTTCAACCGGATTCAAAGAACATGCACAAATGACACTTTAGAGGCAAAAACACAGAGGTTCATCAAAGTATTATCAGACAATAACTATCTCCTGAAACTTATTAATCTTATTAGAAATATGGCACAAAGAAGATCTACTGTTCAGTCAGTTCAAAAAAACGTCATTTAGATCAGGCTACCATATATAGATGACTCACACAGTCAGACAACTAAACTCCAAGCAGTCATCTGGAGGACGTACTATCCATCGAATTTCAACATTATGACGAAACTGAAACTTTTTTACTCCTGTGGATACTCTAAACATTTGAACAATGAGTTCAGATGCAATTGGGCTTATCAGTTTACATGTACGTTTGGTCAAACATATATAGAGGGGACCCATGGATCTATGCAAGTAAGGCCCACAAAGCTTATTCCAAAATGGTTGCAACAGCAAAACAAATTTAATGATCCCATTAAAGTAGGTACTAGATATCCAACTTCGTCTAGATCTAAGCATGTCACAGAAACGGGTCACAAGGTTGATTTGAAAGCATCTTTCCGACTTATACACAAAACCAAGTGAAGACATATACTTAAGTTTATTGAAGTTCTCTCTATTAATATATTCAGAAACAATCTTCGTAGCATTAAACCTGCCTTGGTAACTGGGCTTTAATATCAAGGTGGATTAATGTAATATTTTATTCCTTCATATATCGTTTGACTTTTAAACTAACCCTTTGTTTTTTTCGATTATTTTCTCAACACATTTATCCTTTACAATAATTTACGTAAATATGCATGACAAGTGTGCGACCAGTTTTGGTAGTAATGATGTATAGTGGCTACCAGTGGAATCCACTTCATCCTACTTTGGACTCCTCAGCTGAATATACTTACCATTCAGTGAGTGATCTTGTTCCCACCATGACTTGGACCCAGCAGAATTCGCTCCAGATGCCAGAGCGTTATTCTCCGGGTCTCCGAGTCACGATTACCACTCCTGGTCCGATGGGTATTGTATAGTTGTAAATCTCCGTGGTTGATTGGACCGAATTAATCGGTCACTACCACTGGTATACGGGATGTTATGCAGATGCTTTGATACTGAAGCTGCTGGTCCTGGGTTCAATCACTCACTGGGAGGCAGGTACATCCAGCTGCTGGGTGCCAAATAAAAAGAAACGCGCGTCATGGATCCTACTGTTAGTCTCTATCCATCAATATCAAAATCGCTGGCAATATCGAGGCATCCAAACAGGAACCCGTATAGCAGTAGTGGCCGGTCAATGAAAGAGATTCACAAGCCATAGTGTGTATGTGGACAGATTGTTGAAAGTGTATTGTGCTAATGCATCACACATGTTTCACTTTTGGATTTTTGCAGGGGACTATCTGTTTCACGTTTCTGAATAAACGATGTTTCGATTACTTATTGTTTTATGTTAATTTAAGCAGTTTTTTCTGCAATTCCGCATATCTTTTTTAATCTTCATCATTTAAGTCCTTCCATTTATCGAATCACTGACTCAAATAATATCATTTAAGAGTCAGCTTTGTTTAGGCTAGTTGATTCTTGTTTCTTGTACCAGACAATGAAATAAAACAACCCAATAACCTACTGACCTTCTTCATTTATAGACAAACTGTTACATATTAGTCTGACATCAATAATACTTCGAGAAATGTGAATTAAAATTATACTGGTGCTTAAATTCAACAACCACTATTATGATCAAAATAAAATGGATTCTCATTGTACTCAGAAACGGAGAAGATAGGTAGTAAGCGACTGATTTTTCCATTCTTTTCCGGAAGTTATGAAGAAAAAGATTTGCAAATAATCGACCGTAATCTATTGATACAAAAAAAGTTAGTAACTGATAAGAAAGCAAATAAAACTGATAAACAAGCACCGTTATGATTATTATTTTTCACTTGGGTTCCAGGTGGAATTTAGGGTTTCACTAACACGCCTCCATTGCACTCTCTTCTCTGCTGTCTTCTCAACCTGGTTCCACCACTGCCCACAAGCTTTCATTTCTTCCTCACATGATCTCCTCTATGCCATCCTCACCTAGGACGCCCAACTCGTCGTTTCCCCTTTCGGTTCCACTCGAGGGCCTGGCCTGGTGCGTGATGTCTCCAGTCGGCCTTCTCAAAGTATGCCTAATCCATCTCCACTTCCTCGTGCTTACTTGTTGGGTGAAAGATTTTTGCTCCGTTGGTCCGTTGCCAGAGTTCCTTGTTGCTTATTCTTTCTCGCCTTCTCATCTGATCTTTAGTATCGAGCAAGCGTAGGCAGTTGTTAATGGATGTTTGTAGTTTGTTGGAAATACGTTTCTTAACACGCCAAGTTTCAGAACCATATAGGAGCACTGACTAGACATTGGTGTTGAAAACCCGGATCTTGTTCTTTGTGCTGAGTACAGTAGATCTCCACACTGATTTCAAATTAATGCAGGAAGGCCTGTTTTGCTTTTCCGATCCTGGTTTTGACATCTTCGTCTGTGCCTCTGCCGCCTGTAGTTGAAGCGATGCTGACTAGGTAGGTGAAAGAGACAACTTTGTTTAGATTTCTCCCGTTCATGGTGATTGGTTGTTGTTGGTTGGGTATCTTCATCACCTCTGTCTTCTCTACGTTCACTTGAAGTCCCGTTTTCGCTGCCTCTTCTGACAACTTGTTAGTTTTCGCCTGTAGATCTTCGAATACTGTTTCATAGTCACTGAAGTGCTTACGGTTTCTGGAAACCCACTCAAGAACCTTGTATAAATTTGTGTTTTAGGTAATGATCCACACCTTCTCTTTGAGGGCTAACGATACTATCTACTAGATGGAACCTCACCAGGTGCAGCTGGGTTAGAACCCCTTACTCACTGGTTGAAAATTGAGTGTCTAGTCTAAAAAAGGTTGTATCGGAAGCTCAATGTTGTATGTTTGCATGTATCAGTATGATGGTATAACAGGTAAAATTGCGAGTCATTAACAAAAAGAGGCTAAACTTACTTTTAAATTATCTGGAAGTTCTGAACGACCAGCATAACCAGGATTCATGGTAATAAATACAGCGCATGTATGATTCAATTTAATTTCACTCCCTTCAAAAACTAGACTTGATTGATTGGCGTTGATTGCACGTTGAATTGTTAGAATTTGTTGAGCTACTACAGAGAGTACCTCCAGATCTATACGATTAAATTCGTCAAAACATGACCATGCACCACATGATGCAAGTCCCTAAAGAAAAAAAAACGAACGAGTTGAAGAGGAACTAGAAGAATTAACTAAATGACGGGATAAATGTTCAAGGCTTCTGTGAATATTGCCAATAGGATTAATAGAAGAATTGCATTTCAGCTTCAGATGTTTGGGATGCCTTAGATTTGTATGAAAAAGTATTTAGCGATCTGTACATTTTTTAAATTACCGATTTCGTGCCATTTTGTTACCATGATCAGTAGTTCACTTTCCTTCGTTATCAAGGCAAATTGCTGATCGGTTGACGATCGGTTCCACTATGTTGATGTTTTCAGTTTTAGACGAGGTCACTTTATATATATATTATTATTATTTTTCCCTTGAATTCCTAGTGGAACATAGGGTTTCACTAGCACGCCTCCATTGCACTCTTTTCTCTGCTGTCTTTTCAACCTGGTTCCACCACTGCCTACGAGCTTTCATTTCTTCCTCACATGATCTCCTCCATGTCACCCTCTGAGCGACATTTAACATAAACTATCGGCGAAATCCAAGTCTTCTAGGGTCTCTTCACCGGTCAAACAGCGTATGCCCATGTTCTCGCTCCTCACGGTTCTCTGAATGCTCGAGTCCACCACAATCAGGAAGGTCATCGGTGATAGTAGGTGGCAGTCTTGTCTTACCTGTCAGTCTGTCTTCACTTCAAAGGCATCACTGACCTTTCCATTGTGGATCACTTGGCACATAGTATCCTGCATGTAGCATATAGCTGCTGTTGAAGGAGGTTGATGACGGTTTATGGCACTGACACCGTAGTGTTGAAGGAGTTGCCAAATTACTTCTTGGTTGACGTTGTCGAAGGCCTTTTCAAAGTCGGTGAAGCTGAGGTAAAGTGTTGACTGACATTCTATACTCTGTTGTATCATGATGCGAAGGGTTGCAATTTAATCCGCATATGATTTCTTCTTCCTGAAATCAGCCAGCCTGTTCCGGTCGTAGTTTTGAATCCAGCGCATCCTTTAGTCTCTCCAGGATGATGCGGCTTAATATTTTGTTTGAGGTGGACAAGAGCGTGATTCCGTTCAGTTCTTGCAAAGACTTAGGTCGCCCATTTTCGGGAGTTTCATAAGGTAGCCCTTCTTACAATCAATGGGCAGGTACCTTTCCTTCCTTCCAGACCTTCTGCAATAGTGTTGTGAGCATGTTCACTGTTGTCTTTGCGTCTGTTCCCAGTGCTTCTGGCGGGATTCCATCTGGTCCTGGTGCTTTCCCGCATTTCAGTAGCTTTATGGCGTTCAAGACTTTGACTTTTGTTGGAGGATTTGTGTTCACTGATAGTTCTGTGGCCGCAGGTGGTGTTTCTGGACGAGTTGCAGGTGGTGGTCGATTCGAGAGCTTTTGAAGTGATCGGCCCATCGTTTCCTTTATTTCTCTTCTTTGGTAATTAGATTTCCTTTATCATCTTTTATTGGTTTCAACTGTGTTGATCTCTTCCCAGATAGCAACCTGGTTATTTGCTACAATGTTATCAGATCTCTCTTACCTACAGCCTATTCTGCTTCGCTTGCCAATGTGTCGTAGTAGTGTGTTTTGTCTTTGTGCGCACACTTCTTCACTTCTATGTCCAGTGTTTTATACACTGTACTCAGTTCCTCTTCTCTTCGTTCACCCTTGCACTGATTTATCTTCTGCTTCACCATCCTCCTCTCCTCTATCAACTTCCATGTGTCCGTTGACATCCATTCCTCATCTTCTTTTTCTTCCTTCCTAATACGGTTATGCAGATTTCTTTCCACATAACTTTCAAAGAGTTCCAGTGCTCATCCACAAAGGTTTCTTCGGGGATGCTACTCGATATCTCCCATTTTATCTTGATGGCTGACGTGAAGATTTTCTTTGTAGTTTCGTCCTTCAGTTTGTGTTCTGGGTGTTGAACTTGAACTGTGGTCTATCACCAACTCCCTTGAGGGCTTTCAACTTGATTTCGAAGGCAGGTTCATTGCACTAGGTAGTGGTCTGAGCCTACATCTGCTGCTCTTCTTGACCTTATGTCAAGTAGGCTGCGTCATCACTTTCTTGAGATTGAGATAAAGTCGATCTGATTCTTAGTGTATCCATCTGATGAAATGACCTACCTACGAAATGCATCGGGTGATTTGGGAATTCCTTCGTTTTTTTTCAATGAAGCAACGGCGAATTGTGATGTTCTGTACTTTGTGACTGACCATTCTGGAACAAAAGCATCAGTCGTGCGTTATGTGTATTCTCAAGCACATCACTTGCTGTGTACAGAACCTATCATTCGAAGAGTCATCAAAAAAGTAAAAAGCTATTTTTGAAAGGTGTATCATTATTTTGGCATCTAAGATACTGGACCAGAAATATTGCAGTACTTCAGTCTTATACATTCTAAGTATGCTAGCAGCTGATAATGTGTTGACAATTCCAGTTTTCAGACTTGATTTCATATGTACTTATCGGCAATCCAATCACGATACGTCATGGAAAATCTGTGACAGAAAAGAGAAAAGTGAGAACCCACTTTTCGACTGTCTTCCTCATTAAAACAATGCCAACTTTGTTGAAACAACGTGACGTATTATGAAAATGAGTAAGGTAATAGGAAATTCTCCGGTTTTGCATTCTCTGCTCAGTTCGTTTTTTTGCAGCGGTTACTGGATTCAATGTTAGTCAATACTGGGTCATTCAACTCCTCGAGATCCATTTTTAAGGTAATTTACAAAACTGAATTGAACTACTTTGAAGACCTTCGATTCCACCATTTACGAGTAGCTGAAGTACTAGTTATACATGAATAAAAGTCGAAACTATACACTCAAAAGCGTTTTTGAATCATCTTTCTCTACATTAGTTTTAACAATTAATTTTGTTTGGTCTGTTAGTTTCATTTCGTTTCACTGTATATACTACAGTTTAGTTATCATCGTTTTAGACCCCTTTGACAGTACTTGAATCTTCTTCAATCATCTGAAATTGACTCTTTCTTATTCAATGATGTCATTCCTGTTTTCCGTCCACTTGAACCAATCTTTTCATCATCACCACCAACTGTATCTTACATGTATTGACTAAGGGACTTTTTGGAGCTTGATTAGAAAGTTGTTAAAAAGGAATACATCATTACTGATAAAAATCGTATTCTGCTTATGTAATTACCAGCTGCTGATTATGCTTGGTATTGCTTGATGTAAGGTAATGCAGTTATAATTTAACTTTCTTACTGACTATTAGTTCTTGAATTTCTAGTCAACTACCATCAGTAAGACAGTTAAACTTACACAATGTTTCCAAAATAACAGGTCTGCCTTTATAAGATATAATAAGCTTAGACATTTGACATTTAAAACAGAAAAATGCTGGCTTTCTCTTCTGATCAGCAATAATAATTATAACAATATAGTCGAAACATACCTTGAAAAATTTACCCAAAGCAATATAATCCAATCCATCCGAACAATTGAATACAACACACTGTTTAGCGACAGCTTTTGCAAGATCTTTCGTTGTCTCTGTCTTCCCAGTACCAGCAGGACCTTCTGGTGCACCGCCTAAATGTAAGTGTAAGGCTCCAAATAAAGTTCGATAGCATCGATCAGTTAGTGGTGTGATCACTAATCTACCTGTATTCCCGAGATATTCATAGCCATAACTGAAGATTGATGATAAATGCAGGCAAAACATGCATAATATTAAATGTCTTAATAAGTAAGTAGTATGAATGATAAAAGAAAAAGCTTTAGTACCGTTTATTATGTTAAAGTTGCTTTCCTGTCATCGGTGAAATCACTTATCGAGTATTGTATGGTGACGGCTAGCAGTGGAATTCAGATATGTTGGTTGTGTTGCATTCTTTGAGGTGAGTGATTTAATCGTGAAGCTTTCATCGTCTTTATAGACCGTGATCTCTGCCTTAGCCAAGCAACTTCATGAGATGTCTTTCAAGTTCATCATCAACCTAAAAGTCACTCACACTAATCAGTGAAGAGGTCATCCGTCTGTACATAAAGAATATATTAGAGACCAGAACAAGATTACTGAAGTCACTCGGAATCGGTGTGGATCATGAACCGACAAACTTCCTTCAAACCATATTTCTCAGACCAAAGGACGGAAGAACCAGAGAAAATAAATCAAATATTATTGACAAAATCAACTACAACAGCTGCGATCAGCATTGCATTGAGCAAAGTGGTCGACAAATTCACGTTCGTTTACATAAACATCAATGGTTTACTAAACGTCACGAGTTTTCATCTCTAATATCAATGCACGTGGACAACTATGGATATAAATTCAACATTTTGTCTCGTGTCGCTGTGTGGTCAGGAAAAACCTTATTGGACAATTCGTTCTGTAGTTGACCAATCAAAATAAGCGATTTAAATTTTGATCTAGTGGCTTTATTGGCTCATGAAGACTATATATAAATGATGTTTTTCGTCAGGCAGTGTTTTCCTTGTAGTCACAGGCCAGTCTTTGTCTCTGTTATTTTTGTGGCTCAGTGACTTATAAGGTACTGTGGGAGAACAACTGCTACTCAAATTCAGTCCAAGTGTCTCACTGTGTTCGCGTATTTTTAGCTATTCACTCGATCACTTCACTTTCTTCACTAGAAACTTGAGTTATAGATTTCAAACAACATCTTTCCAATAATTTTGTTTTCATCATCTGAAACACCTTTTGGGGTAGATAGACTAAAGCGTAGATAGATATTTTTTTTAAAATGCCAGTCTATCTTCACCAATCAGGAAGTAATATAGTGCCAGAACTATGCACGTTTTGTGTAGAGTTCCTTTATATCAATAAGTACATGAAACTCGATCACAATTCAACTTTCATTGTCTAGAAATCAGCTACAATTAAGCCCAACGATAACTCTACTTGGATGCACTCTAACCAAAGATAGATTTTTGCCAAAAAAATAAAAACTTGAGGATCATTATTATTTGTCTTTTGGGTTCCTAGTGAAATATACGGCTTCAGTAACATGTCTCCATTTCACTCTCTTCTCTCCACTCTCTTCAACCTGGCTCCACCACTGCCCACAACCTTTCATTTCTTCCTCACATCATCTCCTACACGTCACCCTCACCTCGGACGCCCGACTCGTCGTTTCCCCTTTCGGTTCTACTCGAGGGACTAGCCTAGTGTGTGATGTCTCCAAATGGTTTTCTCAGTCTATGTTCAATCCAATCCAATCCATCTCCACTTTCATCTTCTGCATATCTGTTGGGTGATCGCCTCTTGGTTGGTTCCTTGTCAGCCAGCCAGCCAGCCAGCCAGCCAGCCAGCCAGCCAGCCAGCCAGCCAGCCAGCCAGCCAGCCAGCCAGCCAGCCAGCCAGCCAGCCAGCCAGCCAGCCAGCCAGCCAGCCAGCCAGCCAGCCAGCCAGCCAGCCAGCCAGCCAGCCAGCCTGCCTGCCTGCCTGTCAGAGTTCCTTGTTGCTTATTAGTACTATTCTGGCCATCTCATCTCCATCTTCACTATCCAGTGAGCGTAGGCACCAGCTGTTGATGAATGTCTGTAGTTTGTTGGAAATGCTTTTCGTGATGCGACAAGTCTCTCAACCATCACATGGAAGCACTGACTTATTTGAGTCAATTAGTGTTGAAAATCCGGATGTTGTTCATGCTTTATACTGAGTGCAGTGCAGTGCAGTGCAGTGCAGTAGATCTCCACACTGATTTCAGGTTAATGAATGCCTGTCTCGCTGTGCCTCCGATCCTGGCTTTGACATCCTCACCTATGCCTGTGCCGCCTGTAGTTGAAACGATGCTGTCTAGGTAGGTGTGGGCTGGTAGGTAGGTGGAAGAGACAACTTCGTCTAGATTTCTCCCGTTCTTGGTGATCGGTGTTTGTTGTTGATGCTGTTGTTATTTGTTGGGTATCATAAACACCTCTATCTTCTCTACGTTCACCTGAAGTCCCGTCTTCGCTGTCCTGCCTCACCTCTTCTGACAACTTGTTGCTTCTCGCCTGTAGATCTTCGAGTTTGTGCCACAAGACGTTAGACATAAAACATAGTCGTTGGCGAAATCCAAATCTTCTTCTAGCGTCTTTTCATCGGTCCAGCCAGTGTATATCCATCCCCCCTCTCGCTCCTCACTGTTGTCTCCTCCATGATCCAGTCCAGTCCAGTCCAGTCCAGTCTAGTCGACCACAATGAGGAAGGTCATCGGTGATAGTAGGTGGCAGCCTTGTCTTACCTGTCAGTCTGTCTTCACTTCAAAGGCATCACTGACCTTTTCATTGTGAATCACTTGGCACATAGTATCCTGCATGTAGCATATAGCTGCTGTTGAAGGAGGTTGATGACGGTTTGTGGCACTGACACCGTAGTGTTGAAGGAGTTGCCAAATTACTTCTTGGTTGATGTTGTCGAAGGCCTTTTCAAAGTCGGTGAAGCTGAGGTAAAGTGTTGACTAGACATTTTAAGAATCATTAATATGTATTTATTCTCTGAGTCTCCAACTTTTGGTGTAGACAGCGTGGTAGGGTCTCTTGAAACACCAGGAATCAGTGGTTGCAGACGCTTCGTAAGATGGTTGGAAATCAGTCACAGTGGCCAAATATACTCACCTATTCAACATCTTCTGAAGCTTCAATATTTTTATTAACCTTAACTCTCGGTTTCCGTTTCTTCGCATACACCATTTTTAATTTGATATCACGCTATCTCTGTTGACTTGTTCTTTGAACAGTGCTGTGAAATGTAACAACGGGAACCGACACACTTCTGTGCGAGGTTCTACATCGATTTTATCTTTTTTCTGTATGTATACAATTAACCAACTTCATTTTGTTGATAATTCCCATTTCGTCAGTAGAACTCTTCATTTTATTGAATACAGTCTATTATGTAGCAATAATTTATTGGGGGTCAGCTTAAAATTGGGTTGACAAACATTTTCTGTTTAATATAGAAATAATAATAATATCGAAACTGGTCATATGATTAACCCCAAAATAGCCTTTAGACCATTGTACAGAAGCTGTCAAGATCGTATACTGAGTTTCATTGAAGCCTGAGATTTACGAAAGTGCAAAAACAATTTGTCCTTACCTTAAGCCTGGCTTAGTAATCTTTATCTCATTTGATGCCAAGGGAGGTGTGAAAATGTATTATTCTTCCTTATTATTACTCCTATACTTTCTAAACCTTGTATTATCTTAATTATCTTACCCCACCCTATTTTCATCCTTCATATTAAATGTCTGGACAAGTGGATGTGTGACCAGATTGTTCGAAATGTATTGCGCGAATACATCATATTTCTCAGATAACTCCCATCCTCTTATTATACTATGCAAATTCATCGAAGGGAGTTATTGTTTCAAAATCATATAATACATCGAATTTCTTTTTTTTTGCATGTATTAATCATTCAAATACCAACTAATCATAGTATATCCTCATTGGGCATTTTTACAACGTATCTAATTTATCATTCTGCAAGTCAACAAGAAAATTACGAGGAAACGTCACAATCAATGACTATGGGGCCTGAGTGAGAAACAGTACATCATACCATAACTATTTCATTGGAAACTATGGTACAAGGAGTAAAACTGTTTTATTAGAGGACACAATTCCATAAAGTATCATAAATATTGTTGGGAATAAAGTAATTATCATTAATTGTTGTTCGTCGATACTTGTAATTTTCCGTTGTCATACCAGGTCGAATGCCTTGATGGATACTGGCACATGGGCTCCTATGCGAACTCTCGTTACTGCCTGAAGGTTAATTATGTAATTTGCTTGATGTATTCCGATTGTGTAATCTCGCTATGCAACTTGATTATGAAATTTGATTGATGTTGGGTAGCAGTGGCATGCAGCAGCTGCATTTCGCCCTGCTTGGGAGCCATTTGGCTAGATGTACCCATACCCCAGTGAGTTATTGTCTTTCCACTCAGACTCGAACCCAGTGCTCCAAACGCCACAGCGTATTCCATTACGCCACTGAGGCCCGGCAGCTGCCTTTTGTACAGCGGCTATCAATTGTTGTTTATTGATACTTGTAATTTCCTATTGATTATTACTACATTATCAAAAAAAAGGTTCGCCATAAGCCTTTGTATGCGTAATTTTACCAGGTAAATTGTTGTTCAGTCTTCGCTCGTTAACTTCATTATTGTTTTGAGATTCAAAGGCGTTTGATTAACCCATTCCTTCTTCGAATGTTTCTTAGGATTTTCGTGAAATGCTTTTTTTCTCCTCTTCAGTGTTATTTACCATGTGATTATCACCAGTTCACATAGACTATTTATAGTGACTGGTTAAAATTGAATTCATTAGTTGCAGTTTTCTTACTGTTTCCTGTCTGTATGCTGTTGAAACATTGTTACCAACAGGAAACTGCTTGTCTGTTTTCATGTGCGGTTTTACATTTTGTTACTTAGCTCTTTGTTTATTATGATGCTTTTATCCTCAGTGGGACAACAGAAACTATGGTTTATTATTTTAAGTCTTCAAATGTAAACTAACAGCGTCACTGGTGTGAATATTGTTCGTGCTAACTACTAAAGTTAATCGAACAGTCTTTGTATTGTCAGTATAATTGTTTAAATGGCGTTCGAAATTCAAGTGTTTACTGAATCACACATGTGTAATGAGACTAATCATAATGATGCGTAGATTTTAAATTTAACTGACTACTCAATATTCAGCTGAATAATGAAAATGAAAAGTGCACTGCAAATTATTTGCTCTGTATATAATGACGGATTATGAAATCAGTGAGAATAAATCATAGATATAAATAATATAAACAGAAACTTAATCTACGTGGAATATTCTTAATCATAGTGCCTGAATAGCAGAATACTATTCCAAGATACTATTTCTCATGGACTAAAGAAAAGATCCATAAAATCAATGTAGAACCTTGGACACAAGTTCATTGGTTCAAGTTGGCATACTTCCCAGTAGCATGCAAAGGAAAAATTGGATAGGAAAGACTGATATCAAAGCGGACTAAGGTATATTGGAGGAGAGGGAATTTAAAGATGAAGGTTATTCCGAACATTTAAGCTTTAGAAAACGACAGACTTAATACATTTGCGCCATTCCTACCTATTTTAAGCCGTATCAACATAGGTCCACAGTCACCAACCATTGGTTTCTATGATCTTGAGGACTCCAGCCACATTGTCTCTACCTCTCTATACGACTCATACCAACAATCAGTGACTTCAACCACCTCTCGTCACCTCGAGAACTTTGCAGTCTAATACAACTTCCCCTAGTACTGCACATCGAAGTAGGTAGTGGCTTGGTATGCACAACACATATCCAAGCCATCTCAGTCACTGAAGGCTGATAACCTTGTCGACTGACTTGCTTTCCTTACCTAATCACCCTTCGCCTGACTTCTGTATTGGTAACATGTTAATTCCACCATGTTCGAGCAGTGCTACGAGAATGTCTCTAACAAACAACTTGTAACTGTTTCACATATATTCTACTTTTAACAGCCATGTCTCACATGAGTTTAACAGGACAGAACGAACTGCAGTGCAGCATACTTTCCCCTAATAAGTATTCGGATATCTTACCAGAGATGATGCAGTTAGGCGAATGGAAAATGGTTCTTCTGTATTCCAGCTGTTTCACCAGCAACCAGCTCGTTTGGACTGATCCAACTCCTCAAGTAACTGAAATGGTCGACAGATTCCACCACTTCATTTCATCCTTAAACTAGGAACAGTTGCAGACCAGCCCTGGACTATCATCTTACATTTGACTGGAGCAAAACGAATGTCAAACATACTCAGATTTCTGGAAAAATGTAGCCGTTAACTTTGATAACACTGGATTAAAATTGTCTCGAGTAGTCCAGAAACAGTGATTAGTTGGTTGATTTCGTTACCAACTGAACAGTATTAAAATATTTCCAGAGATCCAATGTACGCTTGAAAAACAGTAGCTAACTTCATTAATTAACCTACGTGATTTTGCTTAGATGTTCGTTATGAGGTGATAACTGAATGCGAAATGGAAACTTGGATGACAGTGGCATTTGAATAAGTAGTCTTTGGATTACCGACCTGACTAAATCACCGAAGATTTGGTTTTCGCCAGCTTTCATTTGATATATTTATCATGAAACTGACTAAATGCTGATAAAGCATCAAGTTCTGTCCATATTGAGTTCGTTTAACGTTATAACAATGCGACATTTATAAAAGGTAGAAAATACTAAAAGATGAATAATTAGAACAAAACTATGTTAGCACAAATATCTTAGGTCAGTTAAACGTGCCATCATTTACTTTTATCTTAGTTTCTCTGCATTATTTGAATTTTTCAAAGCCTCTTTTAGTGTCCATTCTGTATTGCTAACATCTTATTAAATGACTACCAGGAAACAGTTGTATATCTCCTAACTGATCTTCAGTGAATATATATACTTTACAGTCAGTAAAAGTTCACAGTTATAGTATTCTTTCATTGAAAGTCAGTCATATATTTCAGTATCGACTTATGATGAAATACATATGCTTATTTTGTGTATATTTTGTAATAAATGAGTTAAGAGTGCGTTATAAGATGATATGTTTTCATAAGCAGTGGATGTACTATATTTAGTTGTTCTATAAAGACGTTTTTTGCTACACAGAGGAATACATGTATAGATAAGGTGCCAAGGTGTAAGTCAAGTTGAACAAGAAAATTATTCGGCGTTCTTTGGGCTTTGAAACTTGTTCATGAAGGTTTCATCATCAGGATGAACGGAATGATCAGCCTAAACTTCATCAAACAGTAAGAGATAGAGTTTATAGGATTATTTAGGTAGTAGTATTCATCATGGACTGACATCAGTTGGGGAACCATTGAAAATCTGGGAGCACTGGACAACTGTTTCGTCCAACTAGTATGGGACTCCTCAGCAGTACGCACCCATGATGAATACTACTTCTAAATTAAAAATCCCCATTCATCTCAAAAATACATTGTTTCGGTAGTACTTAACCTCCAATTTTGTTCAAATAAAATTAGTTAATTTATATTATACTGTTCTCAAATAACGAGTAGTACGTTCAATAGTATAAATTATATTATGAAGTTCTCACCCTTGACTCAATCCCATCATACTTTTCACAGTCGAACTAAATTTCCTCACCCTATTTCTGTTCCACCGGACTTGGACAACTTAAAAAAGCCTCTCTGATCGATTTGCTTATTCACTCACTTTTGTTCCATATCACGATATAATTGGATGATTGTAAAGGTTACCTTCTGTACCAAAACTTGAATATTAACCTGAAAACAATGTCAAATTCATACTCTTGAAAAGAATCTTCCTAGTAAGATCAAAACGTTGAGGAATAATACAAAATATTTGCTTATTTTGTTGCGATATACTATGCCTGGATTACACAAGTAAAAATAAGATGAAGTTATATCATTTAAAAGGCTTACTTTAGGTGTGAGTTAATCATACGTGTTACAAGCTGTTTATCTATCCAGTAATATCTTAGTTGACTAAGCCATGAGAATTCTGTATTTGATCGACAATTGAGTGTTATCAGTTCAGCTAACACATCACGTGCATGAACGTCTAGTACAATGAGTGCTTGTAATGTTGTTCGATTTTGTTTAGATAACTTTCCTCGAACCATGCTGACAACTTCATCTATTTGCTGGTTATTTACCTAGAAATGTACACATAAAAGAGATTTATTGTCATAGTTTATGCAAGAATTGATCAGTGGAGAGTGAGAACAGATTTATATCTTTTGTTTAAATATAAAAACTAAATTAAGCATCACGGTGTATACACTTGAAATAGCTATTAGGCAGAGTAAGAAAAACAGTTGACTTGCTGCATTCATTCTGGATGCAAGCGTTCCAGTCTCTTTGGGAGTCTAAGTCAATGACATTCTAGATATTCCATCGAGTCTCGATAGGTGTGAAACCTCACACTAATCATTTTTAACTATTGAAAACAACCTTTATTTCTCAGCTAGCCAGCCAATGCACACAAGTGTTTCCAACGGGAATAGTTGGACAGATCTAACGGTATATAGCCAGTGATATCAAGAAGCAAAGGATATACACAATATGAACTGCTCGCCGCTCGTTTCCTGCATCTTCAGATAAATTTGTTTTTCAGGGTTCAATTTGGAAAAGAAGCTGTTTCGATAACGAACAGAGACGAACAAAAAGGGTAACTTCATATGAACAACAGTCTTAAATATATCTAGTATATAGAACTACACACTACTTGATTAGATGTCAGACAATCTATTTAGTAACGTAAATAGCAATATTACTGAGCAGAAGGCTTAATCAATTAGGTATTTATGTACAGTAACTTTAAGGGTCACCCTAGCGACTGCTGAAATAACCAATGAGATATCGGAATTTCGGCTAGGAAGGCAGTTTCTCATGGAATGAAGGAAAGTAGTTGGTTATCTCAACAGCTGGTAGGATGGCTTTAAATGTCATTCGCATGAAAGCTACCCTAGCAACAATCGAAATAATCGATTCGGTTTCTCTATTTAGGCTGGAAGGTGAGATTTTTGTCGAATAAACAAGTTTAATTGGTTGCTTCATTTGTTAATAAGGTGGTCACTAAAGTCGCCCTGATAAATCAGATATAGGCCCCTAAGTGACTTTAAAGAACGACTTAAAGAACCAATTATCTTTCTTCATTTAGGTTAGAAAGGTAGATTTTCCTAAAATGTTGGAATCTAATTAGTCATTTCAATTATTGCTCAGGTAAACTTCAGAGCCATTTTGCATGTTTTAGTTAAAAGAGTTGTTTTTCATACAATACAGAAACTTATTTGGCCATTTCAGTGGTTTTTGAAGTGGCCTATGTGGTCAAGTGACCCTGACTGACTTTAAAGGTCATCCTAGCACATGGTGAAACAACCAATCGTATCTCCAATTTCGGCTGGGAGGTTATTTTTCCACTATGTAAGGAATCGTAATCGGTTATCTCACCAGTTGTTAGGGTAGCTTTGAAAGTCACTCATATTTCGTAGTACAAACAATTGAGTAAATCTTTTCGAGTCTGCTTTTTCGCGAAACATGGTATTCTATGAATGGAACAAAAATGACTTACAACAACATTTGCAAACGGTTTCGTGGAGCTATATAGTTGTAGTCGATCAGCAGGAAGCCTTGTTCGACTCAGATTTCATGACTGTTGGCACTCATCAGAAAGGCTGACAAGTGTTGAACACCCTATGTTGGTGACCACACTACAAAATGATCGATAGGACTCCCCCAGCACCTAGGACGACATAGCATGAAACTGCTTACTTTTTTCACAGAAGGCAGCCCGCGGGATGAATAGTTCACCGGCAACTCCTCTGACTGCCATAGTGAGTGATACGGGTTCGAATCTCAGAGGGGACATCAGTTCTCTCAACGTCGCAGATATGTTTTGCTCGCGAACGCATGCAAGCTAGAAACTTAGGCAAAGAAGAGCGTCCTGACGATTGTCTCCATCAAAGTGTACGCTGATGTTCAGTCTCCTAATTTGGGGACCACATTATGGAATGACCGATAGAGTCTAGTCAGTACTTAGGACAAGACAACGTGAAACTGGTTATTTTCTAGTAAAGAACAAATGTGGTTTCGGGAAGTTTCTTTTACCCTGTTTCAAGGTTTGCATTGTTAACAAGAGAATCACAGATTTTATTTTGTTTAAATAAGTTTACTAGCAATGAATCTAAGCAAAATAAGTTTATTTACACAATGTAGCAGTGACAATGATAGCAAGTTATAATAGAGAGTACAAATATGCATACCTTGAGATAATCTTTCATAGAATCAATACCATTCTGTAAAGCTTCTTCAACATTTAACGTCCAATAATACATTGAACCAGCTAGTACAGCTTGACCACACCATGCTTTAACCCAATCTTTACGTGGTGTCTTTATATAATCATCCAAAGCATTACTTATATTCAAATGAACTGAATTCACCATATCATCCTCTAATTCTAAAAGCCACTTTTCAACAGCACCACGTGCTTTTGAGGTGGATATAATATCACGTAATTCAACAATTTCATTTTCACTACTTTTCATATGTGTAATATCCAATGTTTTTGTAAATATTAACGAAGCAATACCTTCAAAACACTTTTTCAAATGTGGTTGTACTCTTGTCGGATCTTTTGTCTCAGAAAGTATTTCTAATAATTCATCATTAGATAAAAAGAAAAATCTTGGAAAATATAGACGTTTCTTTTCTAAATATGCATTTAATCCTTTAAGTATAGCATCAAGTAAATCACTGGATTTACGAAATTTGTCTAACATTTTATCAATTGTTATAACAGTTAATACATGTCGATCTATATTAGCATTTTTCATTAATTCTTTCCATGTTTTATCAACTGTAGTAAATTTTCTACTTTCATCTGGCATTTGTGCCATAATATCAGGTGAACTAAATATTGGTTCCAAGTATAACCAGGTAGCTTGTACTTTCAGCCATTCATCAAGTAAATCTTGGGTTAAAATTAACTTCTGTTCCCAATCTCTGGAAAAACGAGTAAACACATAAACAAAGAATAATAGTAGCATAAAAAATTAAGATAATAAACATCAAGACCATAGCTGATACGAATGCTTTGAGAGCAGTTGAGTATCGAGTTTGATTTAATCACTACGGGAATATATTTTAATATAATCTCAGCGTTATGCTGGTATCGTGGTAACAACATTGCTCATTAGGAGGCAGGTACACCCAGCTGACGAATCCTAAAGAGGATGAAACGCGCGTCCTGGATCCCACGGCTGGCCACTGTCCATCATTAATATATGATCTCAGCATGTTTCGCAAATTAAAACAAGATCTTTCTCAACGTGTCACTGCGTAAACCACAGCTTCTTTAGCAGAATATATGGATTTTTATTGAAACCAAAGTATGCAGTCAAATAAAACATCAAATATTTACTGAATATTGGCCGTTTTCTGTCTAACCTGAGTAATTAAAATTAGTCATTACATATACACACTTGTTATTGTTATCTGTCAACGCAAATGTAGGATTTTTGAGATGGATGGGGATTTTTTTAATTTAGAAGTAGTATTCATCATGGACTGACATCAGTTGGGGAACTATTGAAAATCCGGGAGCACTGGACAGCTGTTCCATCCTAGTATGGGACTTCTCAGCAGTACGCACCTACGACCTGGCTAGGGGTCGAACCCAGGACCTTCAGGTTTCACGGCGAACGCGTTAACCATCCAGCCGCTGGGTCGGTCCCCAGCGGTTCACTATTTCCAACTTCTGTCCGCCGTGAAACCTGAAAGTCCTGAGTTCGACCCCTAGCCGGGTCGTGGGTGCGTACTGCTGAGGAGTCCCATGCTAGTTGGACGAAACAGCTGTCCAGTGCTCCCAGACTTTCAATGGTTCCCCAACTGATGTCAGTCCATGATGAATACTACTTCTAAATGTAGGATCGTCAGAATGTGCGTGTGTTGTTGTTAGTTGTGAAATACGTCTTTTTCTTGTACTTTTATTTATGAACCACCAGTAATTTTCATTTTTATTGAAGCTTCAATTCGAAAATGTCATCACTAAAGGTTTCGTCAGATTAATGTTTGTCATATAGGTCACAAGTCTATTCCTACTTTTCTGTTCATAACATTTGATGTTGTTAAAATATACGGGGCTTCGGAAGTTAATCTTTCTTCATGAAAATGGAAACCTTATCCCAGTACGTCTATCTTCTCAAAGTCAATCATGTGTCCACTTTTGATTGGATGGGTAGCTATTACTGATCCTTTTTCTAAATGTTTCAATTCATTTTGATTCCTCGGTGGATGTTTCGTACATAACTTGGGTTCATTCACCCTAACCTTTGAGAGTATACAGCTTTCTCCAACACAACTAGCTTCACATTCCAAACATTTAATTTTGTAGACACAGTTATTCTTTGTCATCTTAGGAATTGTACCTCTCACTTTGACTAAGATCTTTCCTAATAAATTTGAAGGTTTAAAACAGGCTTTAATACCATGAGAAGCGCATGCACTTAATCTATTCAGAAGTACCTTTCCGATGTGGTGTCGTCACACATAACACCCATGATTTTGTTGTACCTTTATCATTATTCGTCGTCGTAGTAGTGCCTGCTGTTTTGTTCGTTTGATCAATAATGTTGTTCAAGAATTTTTAAGGGTATCCATTTCCCATTAAAACATGCTTTATTCTGGATTTTTCATTTTCCAAATCATCAGGAACGGTTACAAGGTTTTTCGCTCTGTTTAGTAGGCTCAATGTGACACTAGCTTCTACGTTAGTTGAATGATCTGATTGGAAGTCTAAGTATTCTTCGAAATGTGTTGGTTTTCTGTATATTTTTATACTGAATTCAGTCGTTCTTTGGATAAGACAATCAAAAAAGTGTAGACTCCTCCCTGTCCTTAGGTTCCATTTCAGTAGTAAATTTAATGGGATCTGAAATAGAATTTATATATTCTGAAAATGTCTGTTGGTGTACTTCCTTAAGAATGACAAATGTATCATCCACATATTTATACTAAGATCCAGGTTGGCATTGGACATTTCTTTAATGCTGTCTCTTTCAAAGCTTTCCAATAGAGATTCGCCACAATTTGAAATCCTGGTGAACTTATTGCAACTCCATTTGACTGATGGTATATCCTACCCATGAACTTGAAATAAATAGATTCTAAGCATAGCTGTAAAGATTTTATAATATCCTCTGTTGAAAGCGGACATTCAGATATTACATCTTGATTATTAACAGTTGCAATTCTTACAAATATCTAAACATTCACATACCGGAATACTGATAAACGGAGAAATGACATCACTACTTACTACAATTTCATCTCCTGTGATCATATTGGGCGGGGCTAGAAGTTATCCCCGAGTTTTATCATGCTTGTTGTGGAATATAGCTTTCTGTGCGCGAATTTGAGTACTTTATGTATACTGTATGCATATTCTCCTTTCGAAAACGACCTATGTCATTGAAGCATGTTTCATGCCGTTTATTCATGTGGAAAGTACTGGTTGGACTTCCAACTTCTAGTTGGAATGCCAGTGAACTTATTTACGAAAAATAATGCTCACAAATCAAAGCAACTTAATTGAGCCTTCAAATTACAGCAAGAAGGTATTTATGAATACAGTTTTCGCTTCAAAGTATATCCTTACAAAACACAGAAAATAGGTATTTTTACACAGAATACTATAACACCTAGGGATAACACTTAGCTTCACGCGGCAACTTTTGCATTTCTTCTTTCAAACCATACCTTAAATTCAGACAGTATGTTATGTAGCCATATGTGATAAGGCATGCATAATACATAGATAAGTTACCTTTTTGTTTTATTGAAGTGGTGGAAAGTCTTGAACATGTGGAAAGCTGAAGTCTGGAACAAAGATGATCACTAACGACTTGTGTCTTTTAGGTAAAGACTAGATAAGCACTGCTAATAACAGTCATTCGCAATAAGCAGTCAATTAAATTTGCTCTGTGTGTTGGTACGTTTCCATGTTTTACTTTAAAATAAATATTAGGTGATCAAAACATCTAGATCGTGGTTAATACAAACGTCCCGGAAAAACTGAGCGCCAAGTCTGATTTTATCACTATACAAATGTATTTCCATATAATCCCAAAGTGTCAAGGATAAAAACAAGATTTTCCTACACGTCTCGCCAAGTCACAATAATTTCAGCAGAATGATAGAACAAGTTAGTATTCTTTAAGGAATGACATCAGTTAGAGAACCAGTGGGAACTTGAGATGATTGGACAGCTGTTGTACCCTAGCATTGGACTCCTCGGTTGTGTGCACCCACGACACCCCACCAGGGGTCAAACTCAGAACCTTCAGGTTCAATAGTGAGTACTTTACCACTGAGCCCCTATGTCGGAATCCAATGGTTCTCCGTTTTATTACTTCTCTTAGTCCGCGATACACCGTGACCTTCACCCAATGGAGATATTGAGAATCTATTCTTAAGTTTGGTCACGACTTCTCGATAGAACGTCCCAATAAACAGTAGGTAGTTTTTTTACTTACTTTATATCAGCTTCAAATGGTTTAATATATGGTGACCCACGCATTGTTTGTGTTTTAACTATATGATCATCCAGCATTACTTGTATATCATCCACTGATGAAAGAATCAGTGTACCACTGTCACGGTACGGTATCAAGTTGAATTCAATCTATATAAAAGCGAAAAAAGCGGAAATACAACTATGTGTATATGTATGCTAAATTTAACTTATCAAGATTCAATGGTACTTTTATAGGTTAAATTGCTACCACATGACAACGGTGTTTCAAGGTTAACAGTTGAGAATGTGGATTTATCAGTAAAAGCTGTTAGCCAGTAGAAGTTATTACACATTGAGCTAGTGGGTCATAAAAACATCCATCAAAAGATTTTATTACACTGAAAATACTGAACAGACTAGCATATGATACCGGTGCATGAAATCTCCGATTATTGGTTTGAGCCTTGTAGAGGGGTGTAGACTACCTGATTGGGATCACCGACACAACAGAAATCAACGGTTGAGGCCTCATGGTGAGATGACTGGAAATAGATCACAAATGCGCAGATGTATTCCCACTGTGGCGTCTTCTGAAGTTTGAATGTCCTGACTAGCCTCCATTTTTAAATACCCTCTCCTCTCTACTTTGATATTAATGTTTTCCTGTTTACCTGTTCTTTGTATCCTACTGTGAAATGTGGCAAATTTAACCAATACAATTGTAGGCAGAGTTCCACATTGATTTTATCTGTCTTTCTGGTTGAATAGCAACTAATACTAGGTAAATATGATATAACTTATCAATAGAAACAAATCATCGGTGTTGCTAAAAAGGTTTTACGAAGGATATTAGACACTTGGAAAAGTAACGGCATTCTTTTCGGAAATTTAATCTCCTTTCAGGATTGGTATGAATTTTAGCAACCAATGAGTAAATAAATAACCTATGGGTTATTCATGCATTGAGGCATGTTGAGATATCGGTGTTCCACTAATGGAAGTAACAAGTCTACACCTTCATAAACGAATGAAATAAGCAATCAACAATATCATAACTTATGATAACATCTTCATCCAACATGACTCAAGTTTATTCCAAACTAAATCTACTTTAGAAGGAACTAGTGGCTTAGTATGCGCAGTAAGTTTCAACTTACATCATTTGGCATCCCTAGCAACTGACTTCGATTGACTAACTTCAAGAAGACATGTAAAGTGGTTTCAATTCACTTAGGTAATGCTTTCAGGATGTCTTTGATCAAAAGCATAATGCCTTCGTGCATCTTTAGCTCTAGACGAATACAAATCACAGCTATAAAGAGGAAGATAGACTACTTTGGAGCACATGATAGACGCTGGACTGACAGTGTGGAACCTCGCACACAAGTGCGAGGTGAAACCTAGTATCTACACCAGGCGATAACCTGTTGACACAACTGTACAAATACAAAGCGCCCAGTTAGAAATCTAGCAGCTGTTCAAAATGGAATTTCTCAGTTAATACACTAAGATGAGTAAGATCTTTTGGTCGACTGAAGTGATGCCATATGGGTTATAGTTTATTATCATATTTGAATGGAAGTATGTACAGATGTTGAAAGTGGACGAGTAACTATTAAATAACCAACCATCGATATAATTCAAAAAAAGTGTTACACCTGTCAGTTGCTTAGAGGCAATCAGCAGGAAGCCGGGGACTTAGATGTCATTGTTGTTGGGAATTGTCAGCAAGGAACTGACAAAAAAACTTACGAATGTCCTGAGAGAAGTTGAGCACCAAGCCATGTTGATTCATTATATAGGTAAGTTTTAATATAATCTCAGAGAGTTTAAGAAATCTTGTTCTCGATTTTCTAAACAAACTGGGATTATATTAAAATTTACCTATATAATGGCGAAGGACTGAAACATGAGTCACACAGTGTTGCAGTTACTGACGTTATGTAACCTAACTTAAAGACAAGAGTGCATAATTGGTAGGTGGAAATCTATCAGCGGTTAGGACTTCAGGTCAGTACCAGTCGCTATCTGGTGATTAAGCCCTTAAGGATATTTTATCTATCTTTATGTGTTGCTGAGACGCGTGAGAACTTTAATCATTGAACTGATGAATAGGACTCTCCACTGATATCCATCTGTGTACTCGTCTGCTTTCTTTCCAATGAAAGTTGTATTCATTTCTAAGAGAGAACTGCTAGTATGTATCAGTTAGTTCCACTTCCATATTTAATGTATTCACATTGTAAATTTTCCATATGGTAGGCAAAACATTAGGTTGCATCTAATCCGATAAACTTGCAGTGAGTACATAAATAATTATAATAATGGAAGTAATCGCTAAGGATACTTACTGGTGCCCATTCTTTACGCATCTTGTCTAAGGTCTTTTCAAGACTATTTTCTTTAGTAGCAGCTTCAGAGATGGCATCAAACTTCGAAATATGCTGATCGAGATTCATATCAATTAATTTAGCTAGACATGTTCCTTCTTCATTACGTAATGTATAACCGACTATCTCTGAAATCTGTGCCCAATGTCTTTCACGTAAACCAGGATTGAATAATGTACGTATAAGGGGTAAATGTTCCTTGAATTCTTCAATTTTTCCGCGTACTTTTGTAGCAATTTTTCTTGGTGCAGGTAAGGTATCAAAGGTTTTTTCTAACTTGAATAAATTACGATATTGATTTGACACTTCAATTTCTACTTGTTCCGGATCAACTTTATCCATAGGTCCTTCCATCCAATCATTAAATTTACCGTTAAGTTCTACTGCAGTTTCATACAGATTTAAAAATGGTTTCAAGATATTCTGTACTTCATTACGCAAGGGATACGAAGTTGTATCCCATTTCAAGGCTTCTTCATCAGCATTGAACGCATCAATTTTAGTCAGTGCTGTGTCCAATTTTGAACTTAATACTTGCGCTTTTTTCAAATAACGATTAATTTCATTCATATCACCAAAACTTTGAAATTCATCAACTTGTTTTCTGTAAGTTTCTAATTCTTCAATAAATCGTTCACGTTTATATTTTAAACTGATTTCAAATTCTTCACGTTTCATATTTGCAATACGTCGACTTTCATCGAATACATCAGTCATACGTGCATGCCATTCAAAAACTTGACTATTAACACGCATGTCCGATGGATTCAATTGGGCGTGATCCATAAGGAATAATAAACGATCCTTGGAACGATCTAGTTGACGTTCTAGATCATGCATTTTTACTTTTTCAGTTTGATTAATAAATTCAGTAATCTGCATCATATGTGAAATATCAGTTGGAACAGTTAGTGCTTTAGCGCTTATAAACTCATATTCTTTAATTAGACTGAAGAAGAATAAATGAATAGAGAATACGTTTTAGTTTTCTAATTGTTACTACTTGGTAATCAAAGTCAGTAGTTAAGCACAACTACGTAAAAAAGTGACGTTGGGAATGGAAACTATTTTTAAGACTAGAAAAATTCAGTACTACCTAACTTAAATACAGATGAGTACACGGAAAAACTCATGAATAAGGATAAACCGAAAGAATTCAGATGCTTAAGACAGTTTATCCTGTCTATAAATTTCACCAAGACAATACGAAGAGTGGTCGTTGTAATGACAGCCCAGTTTTTGACTTTTGATTCTTTTGTGGATCAATAAACAGTTGTTTACGCATTCATTTCCAGTGTCTTATTGCGTTCAGTATCGCTACTACCCCAGCATCTTATTTCATCCACTCACTTTGACAATAAAGGATACTTGACTTATAAAACAATCTATATATTAGTTTGAGTCAAATCATAAGTGTAATGGATAGACACTTGTGTTTACCAGCAGTTCGCTTAATCTTAAAGAGCGAACTTGTTTAGATCATAACAACCCTCCTACGGTCTAGTAGATGGACGGAAACGATTAAGAATCGAAAAAATTTTTAACACAAAGTTCATGGGTAATGCAGAAAAATCATTGACATGACTCAGTGAAATAACAATAATAATTTTCTATTTCCTTCATGAGATTGGTTGATAAATAACCTTATCATAGGAAGGGGCCTAAATAGAAAGGTAGTAGCTTTGGATTTCAACCTTGTTTCATGTTATTGCGTGGGTAGGGAAAGCCATATTGAACAATGTCCAACTTTTGGTTTATTGGCTGTATATTCTGAAGAAAACTGTATGTAAATGATGTGCTTTTTGTCAAATAAAGAGTATTCCTTATAGTCAACGGTCGGCATTTGTCTTCTGATTTTCGTGGCTCAGTGAAGTATAAGGTTCTAAGAGAGGACAGTCACCATTTGTAACCAGTTTAAGTGTCTCACTAGGTTAGTAGCGCTATTGCATTTCGTATTATTCTGTCAGTCACTTCCACTCGATTACTTCGCCTTAAATTTGCATTGATAAGTTGTTACTTATTTGAAACCTTACTAATTCCTTTTCCGAGTTCCGACTTCTAGACTGCTTCGTCTTTTCATTCTGAGTGACAACCGCTTGTTGATTATCTTTCATGATCAAATATAAGTACATTCTATGTGCTTACTATGTCGTCGGCTCATGTTTTTCCCTTCCAGACTTTTGTAGTCACAAAACAAACACTTCTCTGTGCAGCTGCCTGCAGAAATGTACCTACAGGGTGGATGAAACTTATCAACAGCTGGTCGTTATAAAACATTCAATCCATTGTCGCCAATTGACAACTTGAATATACTTATAAAAACATTTATCGTTCTACTCAAAGTTCAACAACTTTTACTGAATTCACTTAAGTGTAAAATTTCGTCAGTCTTTATAAAATAATAGTAACCAAAAAAATCTCATCAGACGGAGAGATATTCAGTTCGTTTTTCACTAATATACAAAGATATTTAAGTTCAGTAGGTTATTTACGTACTTAATAGTTATGAGGTATACATGAGTATTATTGATAAACAAAATGACAAGACTGTATATTTGATTACTGATGTCAATCCATGGGAAATAGCAACTTCAAATTATCATATCCTCACAAACCTCCAAACTGCATTACTGCCTACTGCTCATTATTGACTTGTTTCGAAATGGAGTTACTGAGGTTTTAAAAAGACACTGTAACTTGTGAGGTCAGCCAAGTCGGACGTGAGAATAAATACCAAACGAAGGTATTGGACGACGGCCACATTATACTGCGAGGTGAAATAAGTAGGATGATGTGAGTCATTAGATTCGAACCGAGCGACTAAATGGCATGGAGGAGTCAAAGTTAAGCACTGCTGAAGAGTCCCATACTGGACGAAACAGCTGTCCAGTGCCTCAAGGTCCTCAACAGCTCCCCAACTGACTTTATTCCGTGATGAATATCACCTTGAAACCAGTCGATCCCCGCAAACCTCGAAAATGAATTAAAGTTCAAAAGTTACCAACAGTATGATGAATTCACTTCATTCTTTTTTGATTTCCTTCAGCGGACGGAGTGAAATTATGAGTGACACCTATGCTGTTGATTGCTTATTTCAGTAATAGCTAGGATGACCTTTAAAGGAACTTCTTTTAAAGTTATGTTAGCTTTTGGTTTCATTGTTCAAACTGCAAATCATTTGTGAATTTGAAGTTAACTAGGCAACATTAGATGATCAGAATAGCTACACACCTCTAACTCAGTTCCTTTGGATGCAAAAAACATGAGTCTATAAAAAACTGAAAAGAAGAGCCATTTAATACTGACCTCTTCCTGACAAAAGTATCTGTTGACAAATGATTAACTGAGGTTCAGATACTTGTGTCATACAAAAGTTGAAGTTATCCTGCCCATGTTACTTCACTGCTATTGACCTAGAACAAACATTAACATCCTTTTTATCATTTATTTTTATAGTTTGTTATTGGATAATTTGAGATTGACAAACAGGTAAACAGGTAAATAGACAGAGAAACAGATGGACGTAAAATAATCCGTATTTAAATAAAGACTTACTTTCTATTCATTATTCTATGATCTTCTAAAATTCGATCAAGAATACGATCTGCTATATTTTCAGCTCGTTTAGTTAAAGAATGAATTAATTCATCACAGTGTATCTCAAACAATCCTAATCGAATCTTCCTTCTAGACTCATAATGTATCTTCTTTACCAAACGATGATATTTCAATAGTTCACGTGTTAATTCTTCAAATGATGGTCCCATTGGTGTGTTTTCAACAGTGTCTTTAGTGATTGTTTTCTCTTGTTGTTCATAGACAGCATCAGGATTGTCTAGTGAGTCATCTTCAGTAGATTCAACAACTTGAACTACAGGTTCTTGAACTGGAGGATTTAATAACGACTCAATATACTGTTCAGCCTGTGAAATAAACGTGTTTTTTGTGAGTCAAGACACTGTTTAGTACAAAGCAGTAAATAGTTAATGAATCGAATTAAACAAACAGAAGCGGATTAATGAACTCGATAAAATGTTTACAGCTGATAACATTGAGTGTTCCGATGAAAAGTTGGCGAACAAGATTAAGAGAACATTGAATATTCATCTTCCGCTAATCATCACTATTGGTAAACGGTATTAGTTGCTTACACAGGTATTACCCAAGTATCAGACCATCGAAGACAAATTGTGTGTTGTCCTAGCTGTTAAACGCTTTTACCTTGGTTTACCTTCTATGTAACGTTAGCTCTAACACTTGTTTCTTTGGGCAATAACAAGTCAAAAAGGTTGATTAGAGAGAGAATAAAAGTAGTTTATCTCTAGCAGAAGACTAAAGTCGTATTGTTAACCGTACAGGCATATAAAACAATACAATATATCGAAAAGACAACTAGCACTCAGGTGGATCCTCTTTTTTGAAAGTAAGGTTAGAAAATATTGGTAGTTAAATGAACTACTCCTTGCCTCGAGGATATTATGCACTCATGATCCGAATTTCAAAGGTATATATCTAACACACTAAAAATAAAATCAAGTATCTAAGTGAAGGCTTATGCAGTTGAACAAAAATGATTGGTTATCTTAGTTGACGGAACCTATGAAACTAACATTTATGATTATTGTTCTTTTTCGCTTGAGTTCCTGATGGAACATGGAGCTTCAGTAGCACGCCACAATTGCACTCTCTTCTCTCCACCCTTTTCAACCTGGCTCCAACACTGCCCACAAGCTTTCATTTCTTCCTCACACTATCCCCATGTCATCCTCAGACGCCGAACTCGTCCCATCCCCTTACGGTTCAACTCGATGGCCTGGACTGGTGCGTGATGTACACAGTCGGTCTTCTCAGTGTATGCCCAATCCAATCCATCTCCACTTTCATCTTCTGTACTTATGTTGGGTGATCGCCTCTTGGTTGGTTCCTTGTCAGCCAGCCAGCCTGCCTACCTGCCAGAGTTCCTTTTTGCTTTATAATACTATTCTGGCCATCTCATCTCCATCACCACTATCCAGTGAGCGTAGGCACCAGCTGTTGATGAATGTCTGTAGTTTGTTGGAAATGCTTTTCGTGATGCGACAAGTCTCTCAACCATCACATGGGAGCATTGACTTACTTGACTCAACTGGTGTTGAAAATCCGGATGTTGTTCATGCTTTATACTGATTGCAGTGCAGTGCAGTAGATATCCACACTGATTTCAGGTTAATGAAGGCCTGCCTCGCTGTGCCTCCGATTCTGGCTTTGACGTCCTCACCTATGCCTGTGTCGCCTGTAGTTGGAACCATTCTGCCCAGGTAGGTAGGTAGGTAGGTAGGTAGGTAGGTAGGTAGGTAGGTAGGTAGGTAGGTAGGTAGGTAGGTAGGTAGGTAGGTAGGTAGGTAGGTAGGTAGGTAGGTAGGTAGGTAGGTAGGTAGGTAGGTAGGTAGGTAGGTAGGTAGGTAGGTAGGTAGGTAGGTAGGTAGGTAGGTAGGTAGGTAGGTAGGTAGGTAGGTAGGTAGGTAGGTAGGTAGGTAGGTAGGTAGGTAGGTAGGTAGGTAGGTAGGTAGGTAGGTAGGTAGGTAGGTAGGTAGGTAGGTAGGTAGGTAGGTAGGTAGGTAGGTAGGTAGGTAGGTAGGTAGGTAGGTAGGTAGGTAGGTAGGTAGGTAGGTAGGTAGGTAGGTAGGTAGGTAGGTAGGTAGGTAGGTAGGTAGGTAGGTAGGTAGGTAGGTAGGTAGGTAGGTAGGTAGGTAGGTAGGTAGGTAGGTAGGTAGGTAGGTAGGTAGGTAGGTAGGTAGGTAGGTAGGTAGGTAGGTAGGTAGGTAGGTAGGTAGGTAGGTAGGTAGGTAGGTAGGTAGGTAGGTAGGTAGGTAGGTAGGTAGGTAGGTAGGTAGGTAGGTAGGTGAAAGAGACTACTTCCCTTGGTTTTCTCCCGTTGATGGTGATTGGTACTTGTCGTTGTTGTTGTTGTTGTAGTTGTTATTCGTTGGGTATCATAATCACCTCTGTCTTCTCTACGTTCACCTAAAGTCCCGTCTTCGCTGTCCTGTCTCACCTCTTCTGACAACTTGTTGCTTCTCGCCTGTAGATCTTCGAGTTTGTGCCACAAGACGTTAGACATAAAGCATAGTCGTTGGTGAAATCCAAATCTTCTTCTAGCGTCTTTTCATCGGTCCAGCCAGTGTATATCCATCCCCCCTCTCGCTCCTCACTGTTGTCTCCTCCATGATCCAGTCCAGTCCAGTCCAGTCCAGTCCAGTCCAGTCCAGTCCAGTCTAGTCTTGTCGACCACAATCAGGAAGGTCATCATTGATAGTAGGTTGCAGCCTTGTCTTACCTGTCAGCCTGTCTTCACTTCAAAGGCATCACTGACCTTTCCATTGTGAATCACTTGGCATGTAGTATCCTGCATATAGCATATAGCTGCTGTTGAAGGAGGTTGATGACGGTTTGTGGCACTGACACCGTAGTGTTGAAGGAGTTACCAAATTACTTCTCGGTCGACGTTGTCGAAGGCCTTTTCAATGTCGGTGAAGTTGAGGTGGAGAGTTGACTGCCATTCTACTCTTTGTTCTATGATGATGCGTAGCACAGCATGATTTGTGCTTCCTGAATCCAGGCAGTCAGCTAGCCAGCCTGTTGCGGTGGTAATTTTGAATGCAGAGCATCTTTTTGTCTCTTCAGTATGATGTGGCACAATATTTTGCTTAAGGTGGACAGGAGTGGAGAATGATTTCGTGCCATTCCTTGCAAAGACTTAGGTGTAACATCTTTGGGAGTTTGACAAGATAATCCTTCTTCCACTCAGCATGTACCTTTCCTTCCTTCCTTCCAAACCTTCTGCAGAAAGAAAATGTTCATATTACGTGAAGTTAAAATATTTCTACACCCATGCTATTTCAGCGTATCTGTTGCACAATAAACTTAGATTTTAAATCATTTTATTCAGATCAAGTTTCATTGATATTATCAATAAAGGTGACAGAATGTAAAGTATCGCTTCATTGGTTGAAACAAAAGCGGATATCATTCGTCACTATCTGTCAAGACTTTACAAGTTACAGCTATCTGCTGTGCACATAATTTAGTTTGTTAAAGGTTGTCGCTGATTATCACAGCAGTTCTAAGAGAGATAATCAAAAAAAGAGTATAGATCCTAATTAAAAGTGAATTTCATTTAGTTTGATAGTGACCTTAAATGACTCCTGCCTAAACTCAAGAAAATCAACAGCAAAAAGTCATATTGATCACCTTTAACTATTTTGATTGCAACACGATTTGAAAGTATTTTTAAAATAAAAAAAATTCGCTACTTGAAAGACCATATACTCAGTGTTGTCTTTCGGCTTTTGTGTATGCAATAATAGCTGTTATTTAAACACAAGAATTTCAATGTAATGGATAAAGATAATGCTTACTTGTCGATTGACTAAGAACTGATATTTATCATATTCTCTAGCATGGGATTCTGGTCCTTTGGCTTGTAATAACAACATTTTTCTAACTTCATATTTATATTCTTCCATAATTTCATCTAAAATGACTGGATGTAGAATGCTATTCTTAGTTGAACCAGATTGCTGATAAAAATAAAGAGCATGAAAAGTTATCAATCGATGTATTAAAACTATTTCAATAGATTTTAAGTATTTTCGAAGGGTAACTTTTTGAAATGATGCTGCTTTTAGAAACAAACTATAAGAATCTATGAGGAATGATATATTGAGAATAATATTGGTGTTACCGAATAAAGTTGTGGTTCGTTGGCACCCAACTTCAAACCGATGGGTCATGTGGTCGAGCCCTACTCTATATACCGACGTCTGAGTAGCCAGGTTGTAGTGTCAGCTCATTGCAAACTGCATGAACGTACAGATGGCTGCTGAGTACATCTCATTTTTACAAATTTTTTCAGATACTTCAGGATCTATTTTGGCAATCTCACTCTATTTCAATTTAGAGTTTAGCAGGAATTGATAAATTTTAAGGTAGTATTCATCATGCGCTAATATCAGTTAAGTGAGCATTTAAAGAGAGTTATTTCGTTACAGGATGGAACACCTCTGCATTGTGCACCGAAGATTCCACAAGGGATCGAATCCAGCGAGCAAGTTGACCATTCAGCCACCAGAGTATTTAAAATGACCAGCTGTTTATCTTTTATACTTCAAAGAATACTAATAATATTGGAAAGTAACAGTTTCATCAGTATTGAATTATGATGTATCTCAGCAGAGAAGTCGGTTAAAAACTTAAAATCACTTGACAATAAGCTTGTATTAATGTCGATAAGCCACCATGGAAACCTTCAGTGTTGGAAACATCATTCAGCTTGGCTAATTGAAACTACAGATACTCTGCTTCAATTCATGTTTCAATTACTTTATATTCTCAGTGTGTTTGAAATCTGTTGAGATAACATTTTGTGCATCTCAAATGCTTTCTGTGAAAATGTTAAAAGTCAGTAGTAGTGTTTAGTTTGTTTGTTTCTAAAGAATATAGTTGATATTTTTATGTTTCTTTTAAGATTAAAAATGTTTTATTGAGGTTTTGTCCTTTTAAGAGCTAATATATTTCCTATGTGAATATGAGGAAACTAACTCATGATAAACAATAATACGTACTAGAGAAAAAAGCAGAAAGTTTGCTATATTTGTGGCTAACGGTGATAAGATGGCTCTTAGTAGATGAGAACAAATTTATCATGCATAAAAGGCAAATAGACAAAACGTGAAGTGTTTTCACGCATAACTAAGCAGTTTTTAGGATTTGTATGTTTCTTATAAAAAATTGATCAAGAGCCAACTTAACAATACATACCTAATCTAAGGAGATCCAATAACAGGAATTTAGAGTGTACAGTTATGAAAAGGGTTTACTCGGATATCACGTATAATCCTTATTTTAGCCAATATAAAGAATGATAATATGCACTGACTTTAGAAAAAAGTGGAGTTCTACGGCTTGGCTTTTATTTTCACTAATACGTAAGTCAACCTCGCCTGGGTTAACTAGTACCCTAGTTACTAGCCAGTCCTAAGCCCGGATAAACAGAGAAGGATGGGCATACGGCTAGCAACCCTACTCCGTAAAACAAATCCAATCGCTAAACAAAATTCAAAGTACAAACAAAGTATAAAAAATAAAAACAATATCATTCCTCACTGGAATCGGAGAGGCGAAATGACGCCAGTTGGTCAAAGCATTCGCAAAGCCAATTGGCTGATCTGTCTACTGTTCTCTCGATGGAAGCAAAAGTAAACATAAGGACGTGGAATGTCCACACAATGTTTGAACCTGGCAAGACTGCCCAGATTGCAAAACAGATGAGAAGGTGTAGCATAGAAGTGCTTGAAATCTGCGAGGAACCTACAGATGGAATGGAAGTGGACTCTCAAACTGTCAACTGGAGAGTCATAATCTACTCCAATATTGTCACCCAAACGACAACCACGAGCACACTGACTTCTCGACTGGCTATCATGGTGTCCCCAACAACATCGAAGGCTCTCTTGCAGTGGGAATCGATCTCCTCCAGCATCAGGATCATGACAGCAAGATTCAACTCAAAAGGAAGAAAAGTCACAACCATACAATGCTACGCTATGCACCTACAAATAATGCAGATCAAGAGGAGAAGGAGGAATTCTACACACATATACAATCAGTAATGGACAAGGCACCACCCCAGTTGGCGACATCAGAATCCATTCTAATGGGCGACATGAATGCCAAACTGGAAGCGGACAACACAGGAAGAGAACTCATCATGGGTTGAGAAGTGCTCGGTGAAATGATGAATAAGTATGGAGAACTGTTTACAGATTTCTGCCCATTCAACAATTTGGTGATTGAGGGCACTGTGCACAAGCACAAGGATGTTCACAGGGCAGCGACATGCATCTGATTTCACTAGATGCACACACTACACTAAAAATCAGATTGACTTTGTCTCAATGTGAAGAAAGTGGAGATGTAGTCTACTTGACACAAGGTCAAGAAGGGGAACCCAGATGGGAAGCTACCAGTTGAGCGTCCGAGGGTGACATGGAGGAGATCGTGTGAAGAAGAAATGATAGCTTCTGGGCTGTCGTGGAGCCAGGTTTAAAAGGTAGCAGAGAACAGAGTGCACTGGAGATGTGCTACTGAAGGCATATGTTCCACCAGGAACCCAAGGGACAAGAATAATAAATAGTAATACGTAAGTCATTTCATTCTAGAATGTGATTTGTTATCAACTTTTCGATGTCAACCTCTAGTAGGATACTGAAACATTTTAAACGATGTTAGATGGTTGGATACAATCAGCAGGAAGTTCTACTCCACCTAGATTTCGTGCTTGCTGGAACTCATCAACAAAGTGTGTTTTCAACTTTGAACGTACTGATGTCCGCTCTGGGATTTGAATCCATATCACCAAGTGTTACAGTCAAGAACGTTGCCACCAATTTCAAGTCTCCTAGCCTAATGACCATATTGCAAAAGAACTCGGTGAGAACTCAGGACTAGATAATATGAAGTTGGTTGCTGTGAGGTGACTCATAAATGCATCTAATTCCGTTCTAAAAGAGGTCAAAAATGGCTTAAATAGCTAAGTGGTCGCGTTGCTAGCTGGAACACCGGCTGACAGGGGTTCGAACCTGCAGAGGATATCAGTTCCCTTGAAGTCGCAGGTACACTTTGCTGACGAGTGTCAAGTAGGACCTCCAGTCGATTGCCTCTAACCATCTAACATCAATCACAGTGTATATTGATGTTGAGTCTGCTAGCTTAGTGACCATATTATAAAATGGTCATTGAACTTCGGTCAGCCCTTAGGATCAGACAACGTGGTTTAATCAACATTTTAAAATATTTAATATAAAGCAGCATAATAACTGTCGAGTAGTCTCTCACTGTAAAATGAAAATAATTTGTAACTGATCGGTTTTTGACTGAACTTTGACCAAAAATATTTCATACAGCGCACTTCAATGATAGACGGCGATGTTATAAAACTTTGAAATACCTCACTGATTCAGTAATAATGGACATTGTATGAGATTTTTATGAACTATTTAACTATTTTCTTCAGATATAATCATGACCTGTGATAGGTTAGAATAGTTCATAGTTATTTATTATCTGCTAACTGAGTGATGCAGGTTCAAATCTCAGAGGAGTTTCTTCTGAATGACAGATATACTTTTTTTAATGGATTATTTTCAAACGTTAAAATAATTTCTACCCTTCTTTAGTCGTTAGAGCTAATCACTACTTTATTTGGAAATTGTGAACGTTCTATAAGAAGTAATCTGAAGTAGACGGTGTCGAGAAATCTAATTGTTTCCGATCATAACTTTTATATCTCAGTTCAAATGTTCAGAAGCTGAAAAAAGCTTGTCATAAAGGAGTCAAACATAATATCGATTTAATTTTAAGTGAATTATGAATTTTTAGCTAAGAAAAACTATTGAATTTAGAGAGGATTTTTTATTGATTCATGTTGGTATTTATTATTGACTGACATCAACTGAAGGAACACTGGGGACATTCGACAGCTGTTTCATCTTAGTATGAGATTCCTGAGCAGTACGCACCCATGGACCCCCAGAGATCAAACCCAGAGCCTACAGGTTCCGTGGCCAGCACGTCACCACTGAGACACTGGGTCGGAATCCAATGGTTTTTATTTTCTGCTTTCATCAGTTCACGATACAGCACGACTTGCATCCAATGTCGTCGTTGAGTATCTGTCCTCATATCCGACTAGAGAAGTCATGGGTGCTTACTGCTGAGGTGTCCCATACTACTATAAAACAGCTGTCCAGTGCTCCCAGGTTTCCAATGTTTCTCCAACTTCATGATTAATACCAACCTGCAAAAGATACTTAATCCAACGCACTTCAGTTGGAGGTGTATCAAGAGTAAATAATACTGACTGGGTTACACATCCTAAAATAAAAATTTATAGTATTCTTTGCAATTCACAATACATGACATCAAAAACAGTGAAACATTAGATTTATTGATTGATTTCAAGTTGGTATTCATCACGAACTGACATCATTATAGAAACATTGAAAACCTAGGAGTGCTGAACTTTTTTCCCACCCTAGTATGGGGCTTTACAGCGGTGTGTACCAAGACCCTAATAGGAGTCGAACCCAGGACTTTCAGTCGTCTTGATAACCAAGATACCTTTTTACCAATGAGTCAAGATTCAATGGTTCACATTTTCCTACCTATATCAATTCACGATATAGTATGACCATCAACCAATGCAACCGATGAGAATTTCTCCTCCCATCCAACTTCGTCAGTCTTACCGGTCACGACTTCTCGAAGAAAGTCACTAATCAGCACTAGGCAATAATTCATTTTGCTAGTTTGTGAGGATTGATTAATTTCAAGGTCCTGTGATGAATACCACCTTCACGTGAACAAGTGTTCCAGGACAGTTTGAAAAATCTCCACAGAGCTCACCAAGTACCTCATTAACATTCTTAACTATTTCTTACTGTATAGCTAGATAATGTGATTTCAGATTTCATTTCGACTTTGGGTTCAACAACTTTTTCATTAGTGTATCAATGCGAACATTATCCATGTTTAGGGTCTTAATGACGATTGTTGTTAAACACTGGAAGTTATTTGTCAATACATGCCTCTTTACTGAAATCGCTTTATACATACTATACCGTATAGTCTGAACATTTAAGTTTCATTACTTTGATACAGAAAAACTTACAAATATCAAGGATGATTGTTCAAATTAAGAGACAGACAGAGACCAAAGTAAAAGATTTCATTCAAGTAGATTCATCCAGTTTTGTACGTTTCGCACTTCTGTATACTATATCCACTGAAAATTCTAATGTGTTCAGCGTGACTAATTCATGTGATCTGAATTATATCATAAGGAGGCAAAGGAATATAAATAATTTCAACGTGATGTTCACTAGTGACTGACATCATTTGAAGAACCTCTAAAGACATGGAAGCACTGAGCACCTGTTTCGTCGTAGTATGGAACTCCTCAGTAGTACGCAGCCACGACCTCGTAAGGGGTTGAACCCAGCAGTGTAAGTTCTTGCACATTACTATTCAGCCACTTTGATGGAATCCTACTGTCCACGTTTTTTCCCAGTGTCACTTCACAATATAGTGCGACTATCATCTAATGTCAGTGGGCAGTATTCGTCCTGACATCCAACTTGGTTGAAGCCTTGAGGATAGAAAGAAAAGCATGATGTTCTAGTCGATAGAAGTAACTGAGTCAAACAGAAGGAGTCATTCGGTAAGAAAAAATGCGTTTACATCTCCATAGAATGCTGAAAACAAGATTGATTACCATTATTATGAAAATACCAGCTAAATACACTCACCCAATCAGAATATAGACGCGTTTCAATCCTAGGGATACTCTGTATCACTTTGTGCATATAATCAAACATATTTAATAAAGTGACTTCAAATTCTTCAATAGAAGGTTCAAATTTTACAACATTCTCATCCAAAACAAGACGTAAAATAAATCCAGGATGTTGTTGACCGGTCTATAGAGAGAGAGAAAAGGAATGAAAATCAAAGTTGAATAAATGTCAACAAACAGTTTCGTCTTCTCCTCTATGTGTTTTGAAATTATGGAAATCTACTTCTGCAAACAGACAAAACTCAACTGATAAATTCAATCAATTTAAGAGTTATTAACTAATGCATACCCCCGTTTTATCAAACATTATGTGACCTTGATATTGTCTCTCCGGATGTATTCGTTCAACTAAACGCTATAACAGATCAAGATGAATTAGGAAGAATTCAAGTTGCAGATAAATGTTAACAAATGGATCAGACATGGGAATTGGACAATACTGGTTTATATCATCACAACTGATTCAGTGTTGGGTTATCTGTAAGGCGAAACCAAATTTACGGGGAAATAGTTCTTTTATGTTTTCTCTGTACAGTGGAAGTTATTGTTATATGCATAGGAAAAGCTGTATTATGTATAAAAACGAATCTTGTTAAACCTTTGTTACTACCTTGCATATAGTCATCGGCAATAAATATTAACCCTTCCATTCTCACTATATTTCTCCCTCAGTATTCACAGTTGTCACATTTCCATTGCACTTTTTAGTAGCCCAAAAATTTCTTTTTTGCATTACCATGGTATCCTTGATCATATATTACATATTATGCAACTGTATATTTAAACCCGTTAACTAAGTTGGTTTCGATGCTCTTTTGTAGTTAATCTTCTATTTACATCACACTTGTGAATTTTTGGTATCAGTTATAAATTACAATCTTCATTTAACCTGGTCTTTTTTACTTGGTTTAGTCAAATAATACTGTCCAATATAGTGAAACAAAAAAACTTATAAAATTGTGACTGTATATTTGTAGAGGAGAAAATCTTCGACGAAGACGTTTTTATAAACGCCCAGATTATAGTTGCTACGAATGTCCTGGGAGAAGTAGAGCACCAAGTCTGATTTAATCATCATAAGAATATATTTTAATATAATCCTAGCATGTCCAGAAAATCTAAACGAGATATTTAAGAACTTTTCACTATGTAAGCCACGATTTCTTCAGCAGTATATGCGGACCCGTATATTCTATTGCACTCTCGAAATTCAGCACTGAATGACGGAAGTTCTTATTCCCCAGAATGTAGTAATTTCCACGTGGTTTTAGTTATGCGTTGTTGATGAGCGCCAACAAGCACGAAACCTACAACATCTAGGGTTTTCTCCCGACTAACTCCCGACAGGTAACACCAAAATACTGAATGGTTTTCAGGTTCGTCTGCCCTTCCTTTTCCACTTCTTCATTTTTTAGAGTAGTTATCAGTGAATACCAAAGCAAATAACACATGTCAATATAGTAATCTTTCAGTTGTATAGCAATAATTGTTCATTTCGACAAAACAATTAGAAGACGTAAATTGTCTGAACTGTGTAATGATGAATTACTGGATCCCGTTAAGAAGCGATTCCGTAAGTATTCTTTAAAAGATACATCTGAAGTAATCAAATGCCTTGATGATGTCAACATAAAAAGTAAATTTATGTGTTAATTTGACGTTAACTCTATTCACAAATATCCCTTTGGTCAAGACAATTGACATTTTATGTGATTATATTTCTGTGCATAATTTTACAATACCCATTTCTTTTGGTCACTTAAAAGGGCCACTACTTTTATATACAAGTAATTTTAAATTCATCTTTGAGGGCAAACATTTTCACCAGGTTGATGACGTTGCCATGAGAAGTACCTAAGACCCCCCTCTTAGCTGACATATTTATGTCGCACGTAGAAAATTAAATTGAGAACCTAACTGACAAAGCCCATCTATATGGAAGATATGCCAAACGATATCCTAATTATTTGTGATGATCCAAGTCAGTCCACTTCAGTTGTGCACCGATTGAATACAGTGCGGAGCAGCATATCCTTGACATGTGTAGAAGAATACGATGACTGCCTGCCTTTCCTAGACATATTAATTAGTCGGTGACAGGATGAATCAATAAAATGTTCTGTCTACAGAAAACCCATATGGACAGGGCAATATTCGAAGTATTATAGCTTTTGTCCAGTTCAGTAGAAGTGAGCGTTAGTTAGGTGCTTATTCAGCAGAATTCAACGAATATATGCATAGATAATACTTTGGAAGGTGAGAGAAGAACATTGACTGAAATACTGTTAAAAAATAACTCTCCATCAAAATTTATTAGTCAACACAAAATAACCAGAGTGCCAAAACCAGCTCTTCACTTTGATAGCAGGCGTCCAAGTTCTTCGACTGTGAAACATATTGTTGAAATAGATCATAGAATTGACGCGAGTGCTTCCCTTAGACCTACTTACAAAACGTGTTGAAGACGGATCCTTAAGTGAGTTAAGGCCTTAGCTATAAGGAAGTTTAAGCCACCTTTGTGTCCAAAAACAATTTATCACACTAAATCTTCCTTAATGAACTCAACTCTGAAACCAAGTTCAATGAACTATTATTTTTGCTCTCTTGATTTTCATTGTTATTTGGCCTAAACTTCTGTCTTCCTACTTGACCTCTTTTCATTTTCTCACCCCTAATCTTTGTGAATTTTCATACAAATACCTGTAATAAGTGTGTGTGTGTGTGATCAGCTTGTTTGAAATGTGTTGTGCAAATACAATACACGGTCCAGATAGTTTACGTATTCTTATTGTTTTGTAGAAGTTTCTAAAGGGAACTAATTGTCATAAATTATTTAATTTATTGTGCTCAAAATACATTCAAAAAGGATCATTTCAGAAGGAAAAACAAGGTAAGTAAAGTAAGTTGTGTGTAGTTAATTTGGTTGTCTGGTTAATCTTGGTCAATCATTATAGTCAGCAGACTTTACAGTGTGTGACTACATAAAACCACACCTTAATGTTCCCTGCTTCAATTTGAGTCATTTCAGTCACCTTTCGTGTTGTAATGTCACTATTCCTCAATTCAGAACGGTATCTGTTCTAATAGTCCTCAACTAATAACTAATATTCAAGTTTATACTAAACAGAAAGCATTTGAGTGGTATTTTTGCTTCTGAACAAACACATTACAATCATCTCAACTAATAAAGTTTCGAGTTTCCATATGGTTTTTATTGTTCATCATTTCATTCTACTTAATGTGCTTCGAATCAGTTAGTATGTTAATCAGTTGTAGCTAAGTAACTAGTGGAGTTATTAATATGCATAGGCAAAGATCCATCTGATTAATTTATTGTGGTGAAAGCGTTCGTTGGCTGATAAGGCAGTTTGAGAATATAAGCAATTATGTAATACCTCACTGGTATATTTATTGTCTTGTTCTTACTTACTCTTTCTCTGCCTTTTTTTCCTACTTTAGAAAAAAAAGGGAGACATCGGCAGCAGATTATCTGTTTTAGTTGAGTATTCATCCAAGTCGAAACAAGTGATATGAATAAATTAACTTATAATCGACAAATTAAATAATGCACCTCAATTTCAATTCGTCTACTAACACAGCAGTTAGAAATGATAAACTAACCCTAGATTGAATAAGGCCCATAAAGAAAAAGGAAATGATTTTTAATAACATACCGGTGGATTGCATACCAGATTTTTATAGTCTGACATTGAAGATAAGCCAAGATTTTGTAGATTCTCTGTCATCAGTGTGGCTGCACATCGATAATAGGCTTCCAGTCTAGCTGGTTCATCATTAGTTGGAACAAGTTTACGTTTATTCCTTGATAAAATATATTCTGTATTTCACTTAACCATCTTTAAAAGCGGAAAAAGAAGTAGAAGATAATTTCCAATTGTTAAACTGAGAAGCATGTATCAAAAGTTTAAATCAACCCATCTTTGCACATGTTTATACGCTAGATTATGAGACAGATTATTTTATGAGGGCTTCTATACTGCCCATTCGTCAAGGTTGATGACAATGGAGAGGGAATTGAATCCAAGGCACGCTACTTGACAGTGAAGAAACTGAGAACAGAATCGAAATCTCTCTTCTCTGCTGATTGAATATTGAACAAATAACAACGACTAGCAATCAATAAAGCAAGAACGAGAAGATTAGAATAATAAAATGATGTTATTTTATTTCACAGTTACTCATGAGCTGTATACAACCTAAATTAATGTATGTTGATCAGGATTATTGATAATTTAAAATATGATTAGATCGATAATTCCAGATTTAAAGGAATTTCGCAAAACAAGAAGCAAAGATTAAAGGGAGGGAAATCACTTGAGAGTAAGGAATTCGATATTGTCTAGTGATTAGTGTTGATGAAATTCTACTCATTTCAGAAGACATCACTTCACTCCTGGTTGCATGTTCGCATTGCTAACGACTGACAAAAACTCCGAAACGTGAGTCTAGCAGGGTTTCCTGTTGACCATCTATAACCAAATAACATTCACCAAAGTCCCCATGATGGTGTCTCCTAGCTTGGGCGTCACATTGATGTTTACCGATTATTCGTCGGCTTTAGTATTTCTTCAATTGTTTAGTGAAGCTTGGGTAACCAACATGTCGTTACGGTGAGGAAATAAGTTCAAAAGAGGGGACAAAAAATTCAAAAGTTACTTTGCAAAGTAAACAACTGCGTTTATGTTGCTTTGTTGTTCTTTAGACTAATTCAGTAAAATCAGGTTCTTTTCAAATATACGATAGTCCGCTGTGAACAAATCTCACCATGCTTTCCTATGGCAAGCAAATTGTTCAGACCACATCATGTGATCTGACTGATACCACCATCAGCGTCAAGATTGAGAGTGTGAAAGTTGTATGGAATATACTAATGACTGACATAAGTAGTTATGGACTAATCATACCGATCAGAAGTGCTCACTTGCCAGACTACAGAGTTCTAAACATTAGCCAACGCTTCCGCCCCTTACTTCTTGACAATTTTTCGTTAAATTTTAATTTCTCCTTCAGGATACGTGCTCCTGTTTGACGTGAGGAGGAGAATACCAGAAAGATATTGTAATTTTGGCCCTCCTCTTAATGATAGTACACTCATTTTTGAAGTCACCACATGAAGTAAAATCGAACTATCTTGATTATGAATATGAGATTACCGGATGATGTCACTGACATGTTCAGAAACAGAGACTTTTTTCAAAGCAGATCATTTATAAACATTTGATAAATTAAACATGAATCTCGCTTAGCTGCTAGCACTTGATTAACAGCTGAGACTAAACAAAAACACTGTTAAAATACTGATCGCGGAAACCTCTAAGTTCTTTTAGCATGTTTAATTTACTTAGATAGTATATCAGTGGAGTAAAAAACATATTGATCGCTGACATTTTCTTGTGATGATGTAGCTATCAGTACACATGAGAGATACTGAAACAAGAATTTACGCGAAAAACTTCATTAGTCAAATAATCGACGGATATCAGACATCATTATCACTTCGCCACATCACAGTTTATGAACATTGTACATTACGTAACTGGTTTCAAGGTTATCTTCATAGTATCACTCTACAGGGGGTCGGTGTGCACAACACATGTCCAAGTCACCTCACTTGCTGAAGGTTTACAACTTTATCGATCGACTTTCTTTCCTTGCCTTATACTTTTCGCCTAACCTCAACAATCCTAACATGGTGATTCCACCAAGCCCCACCAATGCTACAAATACACTTGTGATATAAAAACATGTAACCACTTCATTTCTCTTAATTTTACTATCCATGTCTCACAGCCGTATAACAGGACAGATGGGACTGGAGCACATGATACTCGTCCTTTATCACATAGTTCTTTAGGAATTTAATCGTATCCCTTATACACCAATTAGCTTTATAACACGTTTTTCTGGACTACACGTTCCCCAAGGTAATTATTTCTGTATTGAATTTAAAAGTCAGTAGGCAACCAGATAGTTCACTGACGAATCTCATACTGAAGCCTCTATGTCCGGGTCATCACACTATTCAACCAAAATAAACTCAGAATGGGGAGTAATAACATATAAAAACTATGTAGGATAGAAGTTTTACTAGTTTTAAAAAAGAAGACAACTCAATGAATCAAAGTTCTTTGCACTACTGAAATTTAGATACTCGAAGACGTTTTTCAATAATAAGCATTAAGATGATCAATATTAGGTTTTACACATTATTGGCAGATTAACTAAATTGCCTAGTTTATTAGTTCCCTAGTTACTCGCCAGTCCTAAGCCCGGATAAACAGGGAAGGATGAGCATACGGCTAGCAACCCTACTCCGTAAAACAAATCCAATCGCTAAACAAAATTCAAAGTACAAACAAAGTATAAAAAATAAAAACAATATCATTCCTCACTGGAATCGGAGAGGCAAAATGACGCCAGTTGGTCAAAGCATTCGCAAAGCCAATTAACTGATCTGTCTACTGTTCTCTCGATGGAAGCAAAAGTAAACATAAGGACGTGGAATGTCCACACAATGTTTGAACCTGGCAAGACTGCCCAGATTGCAAAACAGATGAGAAGGTGTAGCATAGAAGTGCTTGAAATCTGCGAGGAACCTACAGATGGAATGGAAGTGGACTCTCAAACTGTCAACTGGAGAGTCAATAATCTACTCCAATATTGTCACCCAAACGACAACCACGAGCACACTGACTTCTCGACTGGCTATCATGGTGTCCCCAACAACATCGAAGGCTCTCTTGCAGTGGGAATCGATCTCCTCCAGCATCAGGATCATGACAGCAAGATTCAACTCGAAAGGAAGAAAAGTCACAACCATACAATGCTACGCTATGCACCTACAAATAATGCAGATCAAGAGGAGAAGGAGGAATTCTACACACATATACAATCAGTAATGGACAAGGCACCACCCAGTTGGCGACATCAGAATCCATTCTAATGGGCGACATGAATGCCAAACTGGGAGCGGACAACACAGGAAGAGAACTCATCATGGGTCGAGAAGCGCTCGGTGAATGATGAATAAGTATGGAGAACTGTTTACAGATTTCTGCCCATTCAACAATTTGGTGATTGAGGGCACTGTGCACAAGCACAAGGATATTCACAGGGCAGCGACATGCATCTGATTTCACTAGATGCACACACTACACTAAAAATCAGATTGACTTTGTCTCAATGTGAAGAAAGTGGAGATGCAGTCTACTGGATACGAGATCAGATCAAGAAGGGGAGCGGATGTAGGTTCACTCCACGCACTATCTAGTGCAAGAAGTCTTCAAAATCAAGTTGAAAGCCTTCAAACAAGCTGGTAATAGACCACTGTTCATGTTCAACACATAGAACAGAAACTGAAGGAAAAAACTACGAACTAAATCTTCACGTCAGCCATCAGTACAAAATGGGAGACACTGAGCGATATCTCTGAAGAAACCTTCATAGAAGAACACTGGAACTTTTTGAAAGGGATGTGGAAAGAAACCTGCATAACCGTATTAGGGAGGAAAAAATACAGGACAAGGAATGCATACCGAATGACACATGGAACCTGATAGAGCCAGGAGAGGAATATGGTGAAACAGAAGATGAAGTAGTGCAGTGCAGAGGTGAACAACGAGAAGAGGAACTGAATACAACCTATAAAACAACCGACAAAAAAGGGAAGAAGAGTGCGCGCAAGGCCGAAAGACACTTCTACGACACACCTGCAAGTGAAGCGGAACAGGCTGCAGGTAAGAGAGACCTAACAACACTACATCAAATAAACAGGTTACTTTCTGGGAAGAGACCAACACAGATGAAACCAATGAAAGATGATGAAGGAAAGTAAGTTACCAAAGAGGAGAAACAAAGGAAACAATGGGCTGACCACTTCAAAATCTCTTGAATCGACCACCACTATCACCACCTTCAATTCTTTCAGAAATACCACCAGCAACCTTGCCACAGAACTTCCAGTGAACACAAACCCTCAGACAAAAGCCGAAGTCCTGAACGTCATAAAGTTACTGAAGGACAGAGAAGCAGCAGGACCACAGGGAATTCCTCCAAAAGCACTGAAAACAAATGTAGACTCATCAGCATACATGCTCACACCACCATTACAAAATGTTTGGAAGGAAGGAAGGAAAGGTACATGCTGAGTGGAAGAAGGATTATCTTGTCAAACTCCCAAAGATGTTACACCTAAGTCTTTGCAAGGAATGGCACGAAATCATTCTCCACTCCTGTCCACCTTAAGCAAAATATTGTGCCACATCATACTGAAGAGACAAAAAGATGCTCTGCATTCAAAATTACCACCGAAACAGGCTGGCTAGCTGACTGCCTGGATTCAGGAAGCACAAATCATGCTGTGCTACGCATCATCATAGAACAAAGCGTAGAATGGCAATCAACTCTCCACCTCAACTTCACCGACATTGAAAAGGCCTTCGACAACGTCGACCGAGAAGTAATTTGGTAACTCCTTCAACACTACGGTGTCAGTGCCACAAACCGTCATCAACCTCCTTCAACAGCAGCTATATGCTATATGCAGGATACTACATGCCAAGTGATTCACAATGGAAAGGTCAGTGATGCCTTTGAAGTGAAGACAGACTGACAGGTAAGACAAGGCTGCAACCTACTATCAATGATGACCTTCCTGATTGTGGTCGACTAGACTAGACTGGACTGGACTGGACTGGACTGGACTGGACTGGACTGGACTGGACTGGACTGGACTGGACTGGACTGGACTGGATCATGGAGGAGACAACAGTGAGGAGGGAGAAGAGGGATGGATATAAACTGGCTGGACCGATGAAAAGACGCCAGAAGAAGATTTGGATTTCACCAACGACTATGTTTTATGTCTAATGTCTTGTGGCACAAACTCGACAAGTTGTCAGAAGAGGTGAGGCAGGACAGCGAAGACGGGACTTCAGGTGAACGTAGAGAAGACAGAGGTGATTATGATACCCAACGAATAACAACGACAAGTACCAATCACCATCAACGGGAGAAAGCCAAGGGAAGTAGTCTCTTCCACCTACCTACCTGGGCAGAATGGTTTCAACTACAGGCGACACAGGCATAGTTGAGGACATCAAAGCCAGGATCGGAGGCACAGCGAGACAGGCCTTCATGACCTGAAATCAGTGTGGAGATCTACTGCACTGCACTGCACTGCACTCAGTATAAAGCGTGAACAACATCCGGATTTTCAACACCAATTGAGTCAATTAAGTCAATGCTACCATGTGATGGTTGAGAGACTTGTCGCATCACGAAAAGCATTTCCAACAAACTACAGACATTCATCTACAGCTGGTGCCTACGCTCACTGGATAGTGGTGATGGAGATGAGATGGCCAGAATAGTATTAATAAGCAACAAGGAACTCTGGCAGGCAGGCAGGCAGGCAGGCAGGCAGGCAGGCAGGCAGGCAGGCAGGCAGGCAGGCAGGCAGGCAGGCAGGCAGGCTGGCTGGCTGGCTGGCTGGCTGGCTGGCTGGCTGGCTGGCTGGCTGGCTGGCTGGCTGGCTGGCTGGCTGGCTGGCTGGCTGGCTGGCTGACAAGGAACCAACCAAGAGGCGATCACCCAACAGAAGTACAGAAGATGAAAGTGGAGATGGATTGGATTGGGCATACACTGAGAAGACCGACTGTGTACATCACTCACCAGTCCAGGCCATCGAGTTGAACCGTAAGGGGAAACGACGAGTTAGGCGTCTGAGGCGAGGGTAACATGTAGGATATAGTGTGAGGAAGAAATGAAAGCTTGTGGGCAGTGTTGGAGCCAGGTTGGAAAGAGTGGAGCGAAGAGAGTGAAATGGAGACGTGCGACTGAAGCCATGTATTCCACTAGGAACCCACAGGAAAATAATGGTGAAAAATTCAGGAGATTAACTAATGGAAACTCTGAAGTCATTAGGTGAAAACTAGACGAGCTAGTATAAATGATGTTATAATGATGAATATCGGCTAGTAATGGAATGTTTACCTGATAAATTATGTCGTTGTATTTTTTTTTATAAACTTATATGGATATTTAGGTTGGGGTTTATGGGAATTTTATTGATGGGGTAGTATTTATTACGAACTGACATCAGTTGGAGAACCACTGAAAACTTAGGAGGACTGGACAGCGGATTCATCCTGGTATGGGACTTCACAGCAATGCATACCCACGACCCCACCAGGGATCGAACTTAGGACCTTCAGGTTTCACGATGAACGCGAATCGACAGAAGCAGGAGACTGTGGACCACTGAACTCCAACCCAGTGGTTGGATGGTTGATACGTACACCGTGAAAGCTGAAATATCTGAGTTTGACCCCTTGCAGAATGATGGGTGTGTACTGTTGAGGAGTGCCGTACTAAAACGAGACAGCTGTCTGGTCCTTCCGGATTTTCAATGGTTCTCCAACTGATGTCAGTCCGTTATGCATACTATCTTATATAGATATCTTGTGCTTAACAGATTTTTCATTCAATACGAAAGAACTTGGTATCGATAAACAGATAGGTTAGAAAATGCATTTATTTGTTACTGTGTATTCCCCTGAATCTGTTATGCCCAAAATTAGACGTTTTATGCCAGTGTTATTTACCAATAAGGCAGACAGATGGAGATGGGAAAAGAAAATTAGGACCCCACACATAAGTTGTACTGATCCAATTTATCATCTTGAAGTTTGATAAAGAAAGAAAAGAAGAAACTGCTGTGTTGAAGCTTCTCTTTCTTAATTGATGCGATGTTCACACTCCACGTTGAAATAAATTAGGTTATATTGGAAATAAAAGGTAAGAAACATTACAGTTAGAGGTAGTAGTTGACGAGATTTATACTGTTCATAACTGAATGTATCTGTTGTATCAGCTGAAAAGTAGGAGACGTGAACCTCAGATAAGTATCATTGGTAATATGATTCTATTTATCTCGAAAGTCATTTCACGTATGTCTTAATTAGTTACAGTATTGTATAGAATTTCGGTTCAGGAGCTTTCGAATGACCACTCATCCATTCATGTATGACTTACAGTTCAGAAATAATTACACTTTGAGTGAAATCCATTACTGTGCACTATCCCATATGTTGTGCTTGAAAGTGGTTGTCTCATCTTTATAAATTATGGGGCGTTGTGGTCAGGCTGTTTAATTGGGCCTACAGATATACGGACAATAAGCACTAAACTGTTGTAAGCAGTTGAAGGACCGAATCGTGCGATTTATTGTACAGATAGACTAAGTATACGAGATTGTGAAAGTATGTACAAGGCCAATCAAATGCAGGGTCAGTGCTAAGAATGAGTCGGCAGAATAATGTGTTTAAGGCTATTACAACCAGACAAGTTTATAACAGTATTCTTGATCAAAATCACAGAAATCTCTTCCGAAAATTAATGTTAATAGGGGGAGAGTGCCAAATTGAAAGACGACAAAGATTTACAACTAGTGTTCAAAGCACCATACAACATACTTTTTCAACAGTCTCTCCTTGGCTGCTTCAATATGTTTCACACAGATCTGCTGAAATCCAGACAACTCCATAGCTGTTGATTTGGAATACAATTCTTTGACATCAATTAGTCGTAAATCCCTGAAATAAGATGAAATTTATTTAGACTAAAAAATATTGGGAAATATTATTATTATATCGAGTATGTTCAATCAATTTGTCTTGAATTTATTCAGTCATTTCAGTAGAGTCTATGTCAATTTTACGCAATCGAATATATGATCATAAGAAATCATTTTGGAAAAGCGACTTGATATCAAAACGAGAAGTTTTACTTACTAAACACATGAGCAATAATTTGTGCTCGAAACGTCATGAAATAAATAATACTAGATCACTGTGTGTTATAAATCAAATAAACAAATCTGATATGAAATTAAATTCTACCACAACGCCCAAGTTTTACATCTATATAAACTGAAAAATCAAAAGTTAGATGTGTAACAGTTCTAGTTGCTATGATTCACATCAGTATGCAAGGAAGAAGTAGACAGAAAGGGGAGATATTAAAGCAGATAAAAGTGTATTAGGACAGACAGTATAAATGGACAATGGTTAATCGAAATATTCAAGAAGCTGAAGATGATAAAGACTGTATACATATCCGCCAACGTGTATTGAATGGCTTCGTAGTAAGGTTTCTAACTTCATCACTCGCTGACTTAACACATGAAATCTTTATGAAGCATCTAATACCAAAATTCAGATCATTGCAGTGTTGCAGAGATTAGCTTGTTGAAAATGGCCTGAATTTGAATGCTACAGTGCGATCAATACTGAAGATAGGTACACTGGTCATCATCTGATAACCAGCTCATGCAAATTCGTAAGTTATGAAACATCGTTGGTAACTCTCATCAATTTACAAAACCAATATGATAGGCTGGGATCAGTGGGAGAAAGTTTGTTCTTCAGTTATATTCAACATAACTTAACAGTATTCTAGGACTCCGTGTTTTGCTAACAATAACTTTCGAAAATATAAAATAAGCAGATAAATGGAACAGAGTCCCTGTGAACAGGTTCATATACTACGCTGTAATATGTAATTTTACAAGGAGAAATGGATTGTCAGGCTCTGCGTACCGAATTACAAGAGGTCTTGTTAACTGCACTGTGGTGTGATGCGTTACAATATAAGGAGAAAAATCTTTTACTTTCAAAGGGTTTTTACTTCTGCTTTCAATCTTAGGTTCGAAAATGGAAGAGACAAGCTTCTAGAAATTCACTTTGATAAACACCGTTCTAAATTCTCAAAAACATACAAACAATAATCATTCCAATTTAATCCATAAACTAAGACAGGCTTATTCAATGCGATTTCATATGATAAAAACTTACGTAAATGCGGTATGCCATAAATCCAACAGTTGAAGCATACAAGTACTAGTTACAAATAAATTTCGCTGACAAAATCTGTACGCAGATAAAAATGACGAATGCCATGGTTTTGGTACAATATCTATTTCTTTACGGCTTTCTGACACCTTACATTCTTTGTCATTTTCATCACAAGTTGTATGAAATCCACCTAACGCTTCTTGTTTATCTGCTGGGTCATTGATAATAAAATTCACAATCGCCTTCTTTACGCTGAACAAATAATCTTCGCGTATTTCATCCTCTAACTTTTCGAGTAAGGCGGTATTTGCAATCTCCTGTATACAGAATAGAAAACTTTAACTCGTTTAACTGTCCAACTTTTATATGAGTTAAAGCAAATAAACACTTATTAACTTTAAAAAATAACTAGTCTTTGGTTATTCACTACTGAAATAAATTAGGAAGTAGTAAAGCTTATCAGTGTTAAGGATTGAAGAAAATATTTCGATTTCCTTTCAAGACTATGAAAAAAATTAACTCTGAGAAGATAGTAGCAGCTTTAAGATAAATGATAATTTGTTGCTTTTACTGATACAGTTAGACGCCAGAAAGGACTAAGATTTTGTGACTGCTACGTAAATAAATTATTCCAAAATGTTTCATATCAGTTCCTTACAGATGATATTAAAAGGAGAGACTGGATCTCAAAATGCACTGTACAGTTCATGAATAAAACTAAAAATTTCTAAAAGAAACTCTGCCTTTCTCTTTTGCACCCTTGCTAACAAATAATGACTCACTAATGTGATTTGCTACAGGCATATATTGATAAAATATACCACCGAGAATTTACCGGGGATGGACATTAAACAGTGTCAACAATTACTTGACGACTCTGCTTTGATAGTGCAGCAAATTTCAAGCTATCTGATACGAGTTTAGGAACAAAATGGTAACGAAAAGATTATTTTGAGATAATTTAAATGGAAATAATATTCACTCAGGCAAAATGAACTACCTTCAAAGTATAAAAAAGGAAAGAACATTGACCTAAGGCCCTGTACAAAAGTGCACCAGCTCAAGTTGCCACAGTTCATATCGGTGCACAAAAGGAAGGCCGGTTACTTAAAATTCAATAATTATTGTATGAGAATGAGGATAATAAGCAAGTGGTGATAAAAAATAAGCCATTTTATCATTATTATCACACATGAGCGGATTAATTGCACCAATAACATGAGACTTTCATTTACCTTCTCATCCAAAGGTGGTCATTTATTTAGTTAAATCTTTAAATTAGACTGAGAAAGCTTAAAAAGCTTCTGGTTTTAGTCAGAGTTTTGCATACTAAACTAGATGTAAACACCAGACAGTAGAAAAATCTAATAAACTGGCATTTTCAAACCACTATTGAAGGACACCTGTTAATTCTGATGGATTCCTAAGAAATAATATTCCCTTATGCTACTTAATTTATTCTTTTGGAAGTGGAAATACAATTAGTGACATGCATTACTTCCTTTTTTGGTTATGTCTCTAGTTTGGTTACGCAAATGTGTAAGAGTATAATTGTAATAGAGATTGTAGAACCAGAAGTTAACTTCTGTCCTGATACAGTATGAGATATTTCGTACAACAAATAATCGCCTGTATTTCGTATATATATGCACTCACTTACTACTTGATAATTCAAGCTGTAATAACATTCCACGAATTAAAATACAAGGGTTCATTTCTGAAAGTCTCATTCAGAGATGACAGAGAAAGTGGTCTGAAAGATCTTAAAGGTTAAGTACCATGTCATTTTGGATGTTTGGCGGGCAGAACATTAGGATAAGTTATTAGGATGACGATAAAATGTGAATTTGCGACTCTTTTCAACGAAAACGGTAATAAGGAGTAAGGGATTATGTGGGGTATTGAAGAAAGCCATGCAAAAGTTGCAATGATTAATTGGTATCATAATCAGTCGTAATCTTAGAGCTTCAGTGCACTGTAAGATATAGACCAATAAGGCTTTATAACCCTTATACCTCCTTCGTAAGGTTTATCGGAACTTCTGTGAAAGTGGGTTTAATATTTCTTCCATAATGTACGTTATATCTCATTTGAAACGAAAGGTACGAGCAACAAGTTTACTCCTCAAGTTTGAAGCAGATATTTTGCATTTAGTTTAAACGGTAGTAAATAAATTGTCGACGGCTTTTCTAGCCTTTTCCGTGAGCAGTAACTAAATCGGCCTAATCAGTTTCCACTACTTTATCATAGGCTTATGGAAGGTTGTATGTTGCCTTATGACAACCTAAGCGATAACTGGAGAGCTAACTTATCCAACTGGGTTTTTTTTCAGAACTAAACACCGCAAGATATCAACGAGAAGTTTGTCGACTTCTCTGGAACTGTTCTTGTCTGAAAATTTATTTCACATGTCGAAGCATGAGCTTATTGTTAAACCATGATATCTGTCCACATTGTTGATAACTGGAAAGCAAGACTGAATAAACGGTATACCGAAAATTGCAAGTAATATTACCAACACATTGATTGGTTGGTTCCTGGAGAGCAACCAATTTCATGCTGTCTATTTATGAGTGCTGAGTGAATTATATTGGCCACTTTGCATTGAAATCACCAAGACAGAGAGCTTATCATTGCGGTGCACTTTGGTTGATGTTAGTTGGGTGGAAGCAATCAATAGGAAGCCCTGCTCCGCCTTCGTCTCCAATTTGTTGGTACTCGTTAGCGAGACATATTTGCAGCCTGAACGGCTAAGTGTTCAAGTCACAGACTATGATACTGGGTGATATATGCTCGAATTTCAAACGGGACATCATTTCCTTCGCGTTGGCAGATGCACTCATCTGTTGCCTACAACCAACTAATATTATCAATAACTAGACCTGCTATTCATATTTTTGAAAGATCAATTTTAAGTGTACTAGTACAGCATTATTAAAGCGTTAGAAACTATGAAGGTGCATTGAGTGGTGACAACAATGAAGTCAGATATTTAGTTGGACACCCAAGACATAACATCGAGACATCCAGCTGAAACAACCCCTATATGGTTCAGTTCATGAATAAAATATTCAGTAACTAACTTCTATGTCCGGCCGAATTGCAGAAACTATTTTTTTCATCAATTTTTCATCAATTGGGGCTACGTGATCAGTATTTATACCATTATAGATGTAGTAGTAATAGCGCTAGGAAAGTTACACATTATTCACAGTATGAAACCTACTAATATGTTCTTCTCTCTGTCTGCAACTCCTTTGACTGATTTAATATCAGACGCTGCAACTCCTTGCATTTGACTAGATTCACTGTTAGCTTCCTCACCAAGACTTGTTCAACTAGACTAAGTTAGCAAACGAGAACATACAGTATCAAATCTACAAGTCGCAGGCGAAAACTCTCTCCAGCTCCTCGTGTGTCATTCGTTTCAAACGACTTCAGTACATCATACTTCCTTTTTTTACTATCTTCTGCGAAATTTACAATCAGTAGATGACTGCAGTTTAAGAAACATACTTTTGTTGATCTCTTTCAGGGTATCTATTTGAGGTTGGCCTCCAAGCGTTTTCTTCATGTTCATTGAAAAATTTGGAACTTCAGTGTTCCATGAGAGTTGACAACAATGGTCATTAAAAGTAGGTAGCATAAAACTAGGTTCAGTGAACCCTTTCACGTTACGCCTAGACTTTGAGGGCTTCTAAGTAAATAAGCCACAAATACTAATCAGGAAAAGACAAACCATTTTATATGACTACCGGTTCTTCATTTACAGTTCAGTACACCAGAAATTATTGAAAAATCTGAAATAATGCCGTTGAGGTCACTATAGAGGTCTGAAACGCTGCCAGTTAAAACAAGCACAACAATTTACCTATTAGTATTCATCAAAACTTCGTAAAACCTCTTAGATATGCATAAATAAATATATTGGCCAGGTTTCTATCCGTTTTATTAAGTAGTATCTAAATAATGAAATCGTCTTGGTAAAGTGTAACACGAAGTGATGTTCCCGTCAAATGTAGGCGTCAGAAGAGAAGATGGAACTGGAATTTGCACAAGTCTTTTAAATGGGATAAGTTGAGAATACTTACGATCTTGCCAATCCTGTATTTGTAAGTGTCTAAAAGGGAATATTGGACTAATCATAATAAACATGTAGGTTAAGCGTGGTTGTTGGAGAGTGGTTAGAATATAGAGTAGGTTAACCTAGACGCTAAGAAGTAGATAAAAGGGAGGCAGCTGTGAGATGACGAAAGAATAGACACGATAGTTGTTTAGGTTAATGATGCCATCGTATGTTGCTGATAAACTGTGTGAGCTAGAGTGTTTGTTTATCCTTCCCTTCAATTGTTCTGCTGGAAAACCTGTAGCTAACCTATAAGGCATGAACCCTGAAGGTACCAAATGTTGGGCTCAAGCCTTTCTTGGTTGCTTGGTAGACTTTTCATGCGGGATTACTTTGTGATGATAACCATTTTGCCGGAGTGGTTATTCCTTTGTTCAGTTGATTCTCACAGTAAATATTTCCATCAGCTAAAAGTAGATCGTTGCTGTACTTAAGAAAGTTCACTCTGAACAGCTTGCTGCATTTCACTTCTCCTTCGCGCTTTTCCGAATAGTTCAGCAACTACATCAGCCGAATTTCCTTACTTTTGAAAACCGTTGGGGAGAAAAGCATACAACAGCTATGAGCTGCCTAGATAGAAATTAATGGATTGGGTTTGCTCGTGTTTTGACAGAAATCGGCAATACGAGACCATACAAACCAGCTACTTTCTTCACATTTACCATTAGGTCTTGGGGCATCTCATCGGATCCCTGGTGAATTCCAAAGAAATGAACTCATCCGCTAGTTTGTTGTGCCGTTGGTAAGCCGGGGGACGGTTAGTCCTGGGGTAAATTTCTGGAGACATATGAGATTTGCCCCAGAACGATGGTCTGGACAGGGTCTTCGAATATTTTGTTGGTAAACAGCAGTTCTGACTGGTCGTAGGAATAGGCAATTAGATTGAGAGGGTTAAAACCGAAAAGGAAAGAGGCGAAGGTGATAAAAAGAGGAGAGGGAAGCAGAGAAAGGGTGTTGCAAAAATTTTTAATCGGTGTGGATAACCAACGGAATGAGGTGAAGAATGGTCCGGCGAAAATAACGGTAGGCATATCGGAAACAGAAATGGTGATGATATCCGTAATTAGATAGTAACTGGAGAGTTAAGGTGTCTAACAGAAAGGTGGAAGATCAAACATTGTTCGCGCCGTTGACAGCAGTGGAGAGGGAATCAGAACGATAGTGACAGAAAGTGTAAGGTTGATGCAGCACCTGTTAGTCGCCTCAATTTCATTCTGATCCCAACTGCTAGTGGACTGAACTTAGCAACAAGATAAGCAACGAAAGCCCTGATATCGTTGCTATCCCAGAAACTTGGTTCTATTCTTGGATCAGTGACTGTGAAACACACGAGGATTCGTTCTTTTTGATAGTGACAGGTTAGCAGGCAAAGTTGGTGGTGTCATCCTTTACATTAGGAACGACTTAACTGCAAAGGCTGTGGAAACAGTTGCATATGAAATTAGGAAATGCGGAATGCTGCGCTGTCGACTAAAATGTAAGGAACGAGGTGTCAACGCGATCGTAATATTTCGAAGCCCCGATTGTGAGGCAGCAGACTTCTTCCTGAGTAAGCTGACCCCCTGGACAGATAAACGCAGATGTCTAGTTGTAGAAGGCTCCAACCCACCATCAGTTCACAAAAGCACCACGTAATTCGATTGACCACCGGTTAGTGGAAACATCAATTTCCCTAGCCCTCATACCACACATTAGGACACCAACCACATATGATCACCAGCAGGCTCCATCAGTTCTAGACTTGGCATTTGCACATACAGATGACGTATACTTCATCCAACACCCCTTGGTAAAGGTGGTCACACTGTGATCGTCTTCAGATTCACAGTGGACGTTTTATACCAGGCCAATGTCCCAGCTAGACCCAACATATGAAAAGCGAATATGGAAGATACTAAACTAGCAGCCTCTTCGGAGGACTGGACGGTCAATCCAGAGGCCTCAGTTGAAGATGCGTGGTGCTCCTTCAAACAGTTATATGCACTAGTGACCCAGCCGTTCATTCCATGGACTGTCCCGAAGGGGCAGAAACATTGTCCATCGTGGACAAACCATGAAATCCGAATCTTGCTACGATGTAATAAAGTGTGGGATCCTTGCCACCCTCCTTGGTACGCCCGGAGTGGGGAGGCATTACAAAAAAGCCCGAAATAAATGTATCTCGGTTATCCACCGGTCTCGAATATGCTTTGGAACACGTCCTGCCCAGGCTGCATTGAAACATCTGAAGAGGTTATTTTCTCGTGTGAACTATAGAAATAAGACGTGTTGTGGTATACCCACCCTAATCAGAGAGACAGAAAATGACCGTCTGATTGAGAACAACAGCGAAAGAGCAGAAGCCACAGGCAGATATTTTGCTAAGGTCTTCACAGAGGAATATTCTGTGGACACTTATCCAACAGCAGAAGCATTGATATCCGACAGAATAAACTTTGTGGATATCGATCTTAATAATGCATTTCGGACATCAGGGGCTCTCGATGTAGAAAAATCAGCAGGACTGGATGAGCCGCACCCAAGGCTGCTCAGACAGCTTGCGGTCTATGTAGCCGGCCCATCGACTACTATATTCACACTGTCTCCCAGTGAAGGCACACTCTACTATGAATGGAAGGATGCCATAGTAACGCCCATCCACAAGGCAGGTTCTAGGTAGCTCCCATCAAATTTCAGACTGATAAGTCTGACTGGCACTGTTTTAAAAATCCTAGAAATGGTAATCAAGAAAGCCATCACAATCCACCTGAAAGGCAACACTCTATTATCTTGTTCACAGCACGGTTTTAGTAGAAATTTCCCTTGCTTGACGAACCTTCTTACAGCCAGAGAAAGTTGGGTTAAGTCGATAGCCTAGGGTCTGACGACTTTTGACGTTTATGCTCACCTTGATGGTTTAACTGGACTCGCTAAGCCGAAGGCACCCGGTCAAGCATCCTGGCCACTTGGCACGCTGTCGTGTTACGTTGCATTGCTCGTATTCGACCCTCTAGCCAGTTAGTTGGACCGCATCGGTATCTTGGCACAACCATCCAAATATACTGTTCCATCCGACTACGCTATCGTGTTCTTCCTTGGTCTCGTACTCGTGGGTACATAACAAGTCCGAATACTTAGTGATTGGTCCTTGCGCCTGTCACGTTCTCACCAGGACAAATCCTAAAGGATGATAAGATACCTGCAGATGTCGTTTTCACTGACTTTTGTAAGGCACTCGACAAAGTACCTTATTCGAGGTTGCTCAGAAAACTGGAAAGTTTTCGAATCATTGGAACCACTGGCAGTTTGCTTGGGTGGATGAGGGACTTTCCTACTGGTAGGAGACAAATAGTAGGGAGCGATTCTCAACTTCCCACTTGGAAGTTGGTAGAGAGTGGAGTACCGTAAGGTACAGTCCTGGGCCCACTACTGCTCCCCCAATACGTGATGAGCTGTCAAATATCACGAAATCCCCTACAGTTCTCCACGCTGATGATGTAAAAGTCTGGCGCGAAATTAGGGACGATGAGGATATGCGTGCGCTTCAGGCAGACCTGAACAGATCATTTACACGGTCAGAGAAGTGGCTGGTGCTTATCAGTGCAGGTGAATGTGTGAGCATATACTTGGGGCACACACAGAGACACCTGCGCTATTGATGGGACTACTCTGCCGTCAGTAACGACCCATGATGACCTAGGAGTCACACTGAGTTACGACTTGGAAACCACGGCTCACTGTCGATTGGTAGCAGCTGGGAGTTTTAGGACTCTCTGGGCATTACTTAGAACTTTTGCGAAAACAAGCGGCGGTATGTTCATCGTCTTAAACACATCCCTAGTTAGGTCCTAATTAGAAAGCTGTACACAGGCGGCTAATCCCTGTCTGAAAGGTGACGCGGACCTTCTAGAAAGAGTTCAGGTGGTAGCCATTCGTATGAGCCCTGCAATAGCTGGCCTTGCCTATAACGACGACTTAAGGAGCTGAACTCATCCATCGCAGACAGAGAAGGGACCTAATCATGCTGTGCAAGATTCTGAGAAATGAATTCCGACCCGACCTATCTTCTCCTTTCCTCCCCAATACGTCGGAACACCTCGGAGGACATAGTAGGAGGCTACAAAAACAAAGAACAAACATAGTCTCCGCAGGGTACTGCTTATCGCGTCGAGTAATCGACGCCTGGAACCGACTCCCAGAAGAAGTGATGTTCGCACCATCAATTGCCTTGTTCACGAGGGGGATGAACAAGCATAGAAATCTACTGGAAAAGGAATAATATAAGCTCCCAGCCTCCTATCCTCAAACGACAAATCTGAAATCTGAATCTGAATGTCCACGTTCTGAATTCATTGCATTTACCGCTGACACTTATTCATACTAATCTCTAAACGGTATATTCCATGTAAAGTCACTTGAATTTTATGTAGTAAGACGGATCGAAATGCATTTGACTTTGCTTGTTGTATGATAGCCTTTTAGGAACTTCAACCCTTGTTCCATCATCGCAGTTCGTCAAATATCTTAGTAATGCCAAATTCGTTCATAAAAGGACAAGCTTGTCACGGGACTTAGCATGCCTCCATAGGATAAGTTATAAAGCTGCACACAACTGGGTGAAATTAGTGGCGAAATGA